GAGCGAGAGAGAGAGAGAGAGAGAGAGAGAAGAGAGGAGGAGAAAGAGAGGGTAGAGGAGAGAGAGAGAAGAGGAGGATGAGAGAGAGAGAGAGAGGAGAGAGAGAGAGAGAGAGAGAGAGAGAAGAGAGAGAGAGAGAGACGAGGAGAGAGAGAGAGAGAGAGAGAGAGGAGAGAGAGGAGGAGAGAGAGAGAGAGAGAGAGAGAGAGAGAGAGAGAGCGAGAGAGAGAGAGAGCAGAGAGAGAGAGAGAGAGAGAGAGAGAGAGAGAGAGAGGAGAGAGAGAGAGAGAGAGAGAGAGAGAGAGAGAGAGAGAGAGAGAGAGAGAGAGAGAGAGAGAGAGAGAGAGAGAGAGAGAGAGAGAGAGAGAGAGAGAGCAGCGGAATTCGAGGAGGGCTTCTGGCATCTGATGCAGGACTCCGCAAGATCGCTGGAGGATTCCGAGGACTCTGCATGGAAAATGCAGCTGGGGGAGCACTTGTCCCTCAAAACGTAAACGCTTGTTCTGGGACGACTGTGAGCGGCTGGCCATTTTCTATTGCAGGAGGCCATCTTCGAAAACAGGCTCACCGCGTGCTAAATCGTGACTCTAGCCCGGTTCCAGCCGTGACTCTAGAGTGTACTCGTCCGTTTCCAAACGCCGAGTCGCGGAACCCGGCAAACAAGAACCGAGGAAAGGTTGCATCAGCCAAACTGACGTCAATAAAGGGAGCTCTGGAAGAGTGTAAGGTCGCCAAGCAAGATAGAAGATACAAAAAGTTTTAGATAAGGCTGGTATATATTCAAAAACACTAGACAACTGCCCCGGTATGTGCGACACCTTATCTGTGCACAAGGCGCACCATCACACAAAACGTTTTCTTTATTATACCATAATACCGGGACGGTCATTAAAGGAAGTGTCTAACATTTATATGGAGTTTTGAATCGAAATATTCATTTTGAAAACATTTCTGTGCTTTTCATTATCCTGCTCTTCTTTAGACCCAAGTCCCTACAGTTTCTGAGCTACACGCCGGTGAATATGGGGAAAGGTGTATCGATGAGAGTATTTCAAAGTCACCATAGCATTCATGACGCCATAAAAAATCCTTCAAATCCTGGTTTTCCACAAGCCATGCGGTGATCAAGGTCAAGAAAATATAATTGTTGAGGCGCTCATATCCGGCGTTCGTGAGCGCGATTTCCAGACAAAGCGGCCATGAATTGGCTTTCAACAGTTATTATGTAAAGTGCGATAACGTAATCATTGAACAGAAAATTGTGCTGCCTAGAGCAGTCATTTCCACTTAACATACCAACAGTTCAAGGTCAGCTTGTTTCATCATGTCTGGTGCTTGCTTTCATATCTTGCGAACCCTCGCCTTTAAATCTTATCTTGCGAACCCTCGCCTTATAATGCGAACCCTCCCCTTTAAAGTAAGTCGCAGCTCAATTTCTCCCAACATGCGCTAATGTTCATGCAGCATGAGGTGACAAAAGACGACGAGATATCTTGAGTCATGAGTGCATTAAAATTATGTGGCAAAAAAGAGGCGTACTGAAAGCAAGCATGACACCTGGAATGAAACCTCGTGGCAAGCATGGCATCGCAAACGAAGCTGCCAGCTAGCTAGCCTCGGTATGACCTCCAGTGGTAGGATGTTAGCGTTATCTTGCTTCCAAAAGCACTGTAAGGCGATGGAGGCAATATTCAGCTACCCACTGTCCTTCGGATTTGGAGCTCCTACTTGTCAACACTGACATCGTGACGCGCGTCTGGTTGCAGTTGAACGATTATCTGCTGCAGCGGAAAGGATGCCTGCCGCTGCGAGACGGGTGTTGCCGCAGCTGGACGCGTGCCCGCTGCAGCTGGACGCGTGCCCGCTGCAGTGGGACACGTGCCCGCTACAGTGGGACACGTGCCCGCTGCAGTGAGACAGGCGTCTGGTGCAATGCAGCGCATGCCGGTAGCAGCGGGGCTCTCCGGACCGGGGAAATGCCGGCAGACCCGGCCGGGCGCGGCGCCACTGTGAGGCAGGCTGCACTGGTCGCAGCCCGCCCTGATCGCGACCGATTGGTGGGTCGCGCGTGGGAGGATCCTGCAGGCCCGCCACCTGCGACCGACGTCGGCCCGCCCGCTGCAGCCACAGCTACGGTGCGCCGCTCGAAGGCCGTATGCTGAGCGTAACCACGCGTCGACTATCAGTGTAGCGCGCTGAAATGTCGGACACACACGCGCACGCACACACGCACGCACGCACGCACGCACGCACGCATGCACGCATGCACACACACACACACACACACACACACACACACACACACACACACACACACACACACACACACACACACACACACACACACACACACACACATATATATATATATATATATATATATATATATATATATATATATATATATATATATATATATATATATATATATATATATATATATATTAAATGGTCATTTGTATGCATATGAATCATATCTATTTACATATTTTTCACGTAGGCGTGCGTGCTTGCGTGTGTTTCACATTTTGGCGTTACGACCCGCTGCCCGCAACCCACTTGTCCAGTGACTGTGGTCAGCCTTGGAAAACTCGTGCAATTAGATGCTGGCCTCTGGTTAGTCGAAGGAAAGCCTCCGGCCGAAAAGCTAGCACTTGCTTTTTCATTCAATTTGCTCGACGTAATCAGGGGCGGATCCAGGATTTCGTCAAGTGGAAGGCACGCAGCACTGTAGGACCCATAGAGTGAACATTGTTAGCCCCCCCCCCCCCAAAAAAAAATCTGGAAGTCCGACCATCAAATTTTTAGAGTATCGTTATGCTGTTTTCATACGAAAACCCCTCACTGCGCGCATCCGTAGAAAACTAGGCGGCTACGCAAGCGTATACATTGAAGCTTATTCATTTTCTCCTGTTCATGGAGTATCCTGCCATTTTGAGGCTAAGCTTTTCGGGAAACCTCGGTAAAATAAGCTTAAGTTGGCTGCCAAACGCCATAAAAATCGAGCAAGAACTTGTTTCATGCAAATTTCAAATCCCTAGCATGTTTACATAAGCCGGCTGGTCGATGTGATCAGCTGATGGCTGATGACTAATGCAGAGTTTTGCTGTTTGTTACGAAATAGTACAAACTATCTTAGCATTAAAATGCATTAAATTAAATGGATAAAATGTGATGCACAAGTATAACAGGTGTCACAGATTCAACAACCAACCAGAATGTGATGTACGACGTTGGTGGCACGTAAAACCATGTTCGGCAATTGCACGTAAAAACTCATCGGCAAATATTCGGGTGCTGCTCGTAACAAACAGCAAACACTGCCCGGGCAGTTTAACGGAAAGGGCCAGCGATAGGAATGAAGGGTCCTCTGCAAACGAAATCAAGGGAAGAGGGCCCTGTATCCATGAAGAGGGCCTCTGAGCATCGAGCGGCTCAGTGCCTTACCTTATACTGGCCCCAGCGGCAACAGCGGCAACACTGGCCCCTCCGAACAAGTGGAAATAACACGAGACCAATATGAAGGGTCCCTGAAGCAACTGCGTGTACCCCGGCATGTAGGGCCTCATCAAAAGCGTATCAAGCCTTTCGGGCGAATGGAAAGAATACATGGAGGGGCCCGTGATCGATCAAGAGTGCCCAAACATGTTAGCAGATAGTGCTCCAACAGCAATGTAAGGCTCTACAAGAAAATGCAAAGAGATCAAGGGCAACATGGAAGGCTCTTTAGCGATCAGATTGACCCGATGAGTAGACATATAGGGCACCGAAAACAGCGTAACGTCTCTGGTCAGCGTAAGCTTACGGGCCTTACTTCCGCTTGTGATTGTTCTTGGTCGATTGGAGGACCAAAGACGTCCTATTATGTTGTGTTTTGTGTTTGAAAGCTGCGTCCGTTCGCCTGATCCTGGGCCACTTTAGAGCCTTTGGGTCCCCCTCGGGACACAAGAGGGAGCGCGGTTCCGTGCTCAGCCCCCCTGGATCCGCCATTGGCCCTAACAGTTTGACTGATGGGGCCCCGTCAAAAAGACAAGGTCATCCATTCAAATAAGAAGTACCCTAGCCACAAAATAGAGGGCTCCCGAAAGATCGAGTGTACCCAAGCAGGCTTTCAGATGGGCCCCGGCAGTAGCGTAAGGCCCTAGATCCAGATGTCAAACCCAATGGGCAGGGGCCCCGAATAATCAAGTGCCCCCGAACAGGCTAACAGATAAGGGCCCGGACAAGTGCATAGGGTCCTCTATTCAAATAGAAAGTACCCAAAACCCAATTTGGATGGCCCCGAACGACCAAGTGAGCCAAAGTAGGTTAACAGATGGGCCCAAGCCAAGAGCGTAGAACACTAATCAAGTGACAGAAAATTAGAAGGGTCCCAAGCCAATGTAGAGGGCCCATGAGCATATCGTGAGTGAGCCGGCGGTAGATAAACCGTGACAAACGTGAGGGGCCCATGAGCAACCAAGAATACCCCGGCAGGTTTACATATAGGACCCCCGGCTTTAGCGTATAGAGCATTTTGGGCAAATGGAAAGAATCAGTGGAAGGCCCCTGATTGACAAAGAGTGTCCCGGCACGCTGGCAGGAAGGCCCAAGCAACAGCGCATGGCCGTCCGAGCAAATGCAAAGAAATCGAGGGCACGATCAGGTTGACCCTGCAAGTGAACATATAGGGCCCCCGGAAGCAGCGTAGGGCCTCTGGACAACGCAAACAATCTTAAGACGTCCAAATCGCCGCCCTCTCAATCATTGAAGAATATTTGCGTCTACTCGTGGGCCCTTTACATTCGCTTGCAATCGTTATTGGTCGCTTGGAAACCCAAATATGTCCAATTTTGTTACGTTCCGTGTAAAAGACTGTCTGTTCAGCCGGCTATGGGGTCCCTTGGACCCCTAAGCGTAATGAATCATCACTTAAAGCGCGCTTCGTTCATAACAACACACGTGCTCAAGGTAGCAGGAGGCGAATGCGAAGGTAGGGCAGGATAACAGCTAGTCTTGTGACGCAGCCACGGATACAACTACGGACGCTTAATCTGACATATGTGGTTGAGTTAATTGTGGTGAAAATACCATCTGCAGGCAAATATTTTTGGCTGCCATTTATCTATTCATAACGATATCTATTCACATCGTCATCCCCATTTACAGCAACAGAAAATCGGCATCAAAAGTAAAAAGTGTAACAACCGTCTGACGCTGGACATGGTGTGTAGCATGCGCTATCTCCGAGCTCAGTTCTCGTTTGCGTCGTAAAACTGCTGAAAGCGAAGTCGGAAGGTTACATTCCACAGATTGTTCTGATTCAAACCAGAGCACATCTGCTAACCGAAACCGGCGTGTGGTCGCCAGGAAGTCAAGCCGAGCCAATCCCGGGAGTCCGCGAGATTTTATGTCCTATCTGAATTAAACACCCCTGAAAATGGCCGCTGGGCCCGCTAGGAGCGCAATAAAACTGGCAGGGAGGCTTTTTTGCTCGTCTTACAGACAGCAAATCACGGCCATTCTCCACATCCCAGTACCGTATATAATGTCTGACATGGCCCCGATCATGGCTATCTAGGCAAGACTCGGATTCTCATAAATGTCCATCTCAGGCTTTACAGATGTCCGCGAAGCATGCTCATGTGGTGTAGAAGACACTGAGGCGCGCGGCCCTCATGGGCAGTAAAACCGCACGTCCTCCACCTTTTTTTGTCCCGCATTTGGGGCAGACAGAACCGGCACGCAGGATTAGCGTCCGCTACTCAAACCAGCGAGCGGCGCCAGCGGTTCGGCTGGGATTACAAGGAGGCCCACGCCAGGTCTTCTCCGCTGCCTCTTATCAACTTTCGAAGAAATGAGAGAAGAGAGCCGCGACGAAAATGACACGCCTTTATTTCGCTGGCAAACGCAGGCATCCGTGAGCCATCCCACCTGTGGGTCTAAACCCCACGCAACTCTTGTGGGCGGTATGAAATGTGCCAAAGGATCTCGACCAGACCAACGACTTCCCATTGGAACATGCTTCAGCCTTTCGAGGCGGTCAGCCGTCATGACCACATTTGGTCAGCCATGGGAATGTGTGACGCGTCCGACTGTCGTGCGCCAGGTATTGGGTATTGGTTTCTTGGCACGCGTCGATGTTCTGCGAATGTGCCCGAGCAAATTCCGTGATCAGCGTCTTCGTGTATATCAATAACAAACGAGCCGATATACGGGCACAATATGCACGCACATTGAAGAGACCCTTCGATACACACACCATCTCATGTCAATCATGTCAGTTCACATAGATCCCGATCTTCGACACTGGAGTGACAATATGCTCGTTCGGCTCCACTCAAAATACCGTCGACCCACGTCTGATCCGAGCCGCACGTGCCGCACCACACGGCTGCAGCACTGAATAGCTGGTGAGTAGCACAGCAGACCCAGCTCGGGCAGCTCCACAAGCGGCCCCTCTGAGGCTCTCTACAGCACCAGACGGTGGGCGCGATCTAAAGGGTCGCAGGAGCATTCGGCGGACGTGGCCGGCTGTCTAGTTCTGTACAACCGGTCCCTGCATCAGCCGGGGGCCGGCCTCACAGCTTCTCCCGTCCACCAGGGGAGCTGTGAGCCTTAGAGACCGAAGCGGCGCGGCGTGGCGCGCGGCGTGCCCGGCTGGCGCAGGCCGGGCGTGACGATCTCGGCGCGCGTGCGGCGGCTCTCGTCATCGCGCCGCTGCCGCTCGGAGCGCCGTTCGGTCAGCAGCCGCTGCGCCTCGGCCATCTCCTCCTCCATCTGGCCCACGTGCTCCAGGTGTGCCTGACGCTTCTGCTCGCGCGCGCGGCCCGTCTGCTTCACCGAGAAGAACATGGGTCCCAGTTCGGCCAGCCAGTGACCGTCCACAGCCGTCACGCACTGCATGTACTCCTTGCTGGTCATGATGAGCTCGTGATAGACGACATAGTCGGGGGTGAAGCCCATGCCGAAGAGCGCCGACGTCGGGTGCAGGTGGCACGGCATGCCCGTGCGCATGTTCACGTACTCGCCGATGCCCTTCAGTCGCGCCGCCTGCAACAGACGCGCGGCGTCAGGACGGGCTGTCCAAAGGCTGCCGGGGACGGTGGGAGGACATGCTGCCGCAGACGACTGGAGGACAGGCTGCCGGAGACGACTGGAGGATGGGCTGCCGGAGACGGTGGGAGGACAGGCTGCCGAAGACGGCCGGAGGACAGGCTGCCTGAGACGGCGGGAGGACAGGCCGCCTGAGACGGGGGGAGGACAGGCTGTCCGAGACGGCCGGAGGACAGGCTGCCTTGAGACGGCGGGAGGACAGGCCGCCTGAGACGGCGGGAGGGCAGGCATTTTCTTTTTTCGATTCAGCGCTACCAGGTAACATAAGCCACTAGCAAGGTAAATTTATAACACACTGTTTTTGGTGGAGGATTAAGTCCGGTCATTGTGGATTTACGACGCACTCAGCTCCTGGGACTTATTGGCGTCGCTTACTTCTTACTTTGATAGGAAGGGCGGGCACCATGGGCAATCAAACCACGTGCCTCTGGTTCCTTATTGAAAAAAACCGTTACATTGTGGCGCACCATGACGTGAGGATATCGCAGACACCCCAGTTTGGGTGTGCTATTTAATTATAAGTCTCGAGAGTTTAAAATGGAAAAATATCATCCACACTGAACACTGACGGCTTCTACACACATTGATGTTAGGGTCAGCGCCAACTAGGCACTAACTGACCTGATGGAAGTAGGCCGAGCAGATGCACTTCCTGATGATGTCCCACTCGTTGCCGGTGCTGATGAGCTCCATCTTCTGCTGGTCCATGGTGTCCTTGAGCTGCTGGCGTACCTCGCGCACCTTCCGCATGGCCTTGCCGTGAATGAAGTGGTCGGAGCACCACGACATGGCGTAGTGGTTGGCCTTCCACTGCTGGTAGACGTTGAGGAAGGTGAGGTGGTCTGACTCGGGCACCTGGAACTTCTCGCGCGCAGCGTCCGAGTCCTCCTCGCGCCCCTTGGGCCGGAAGAAGATGGCCGGCACGGACAGCATGGACACGATGATGAGCACCTCTTGGCTGCAGCGCATCTCGCAGCTGACGATCAGCATCTTGGACAGCGCCGGATCGAGCGGAAACTCCACCATGCGCTGGCCCAGCGGCGTCAGGTTGCCCGTGTTGTCCAGCGCGCCCAGCACCCACAGCTGGTACATCGAGTTGAGCATGTTGTCCTGCGGCGGCGGGTCCATGAAGTGGAACTGCAGCAGGTCGTCGACGCCGAGCGACTTGAGCAACAGCACGACGTTGGCCAGGTTGGTGCGCTGGATCTCGGGCACGGTTGTCTCCAACAGCTCCTCCTTGTACTGGCGGCGTGTGTACAGACGGTACGCAGTACCGGGGCCCGTGCGGCCGGCGCGGCCAGAGCGCTGATTCGAGTTGGCCTGGTCGACGAGAAGGGCGGAGCGTTAGTCGCACGGACGCCCTCGTAGGGTCAACATGCGGACGACGAAACCGGCTGCAGATATGCAGACGAAACCTCTCTGCACAGCTCAGCGAGCTTGTAGAACCGCAGCCTGCTTTGGAACTCTCACACGAGTTGTCAACTCATCGTTCTAACATTTAGCCAATGGCGGTACATCTACTGCTTTTTGGACCAATGCACCACAAGAGTCCACACGATAGTCTTTATAGAAACATTTTTCTCAGACTTGAATAACACAATAACTAGATCACCTAAGGGCGGTTAATTACATTCAAATTGCCCGAATACCTTTGAAAAACTTAGGCACGCCAAACGAGATATGAATGTGCACGCTTGAGCCCCGATGGAATGATAAAAATGGAGCTACGCTTGATTGGACACATGCCAAACGCTTAAACGTTAACAAGCGTATATAATTCTACTTTTCGGATAAAGTTCTTGTCATCGGGAACCAGGCTGCATATAAGTTGGAACGCACCACGCGTCAGCCGCAGAGCATCACAGCTGGAGTACTAGTCGATTATCAGCAGGGCGTACCAGGCACACGGGCTCGAGGTATAGCACGCCACATCGGCCCAAAGCGAAACCAACGAGCTCTTCTCTCCCGCAAGGCGGCGGAAAGTTACCAGGCGCGACCGAACTGCTCCCTGCACCACATACACATGCACACGAACTCAGCGCCATCTAGACCCACACGCCGGCGGCAGTGGTCACTCGCTCCGGGAAAACTATTGGAAGGCCGGGTCATGCGGCGGTGGGCGCAACACACGACAGACCCGGTAGAATCTCCGGAACATGCGCCCGACGAGGCCAGAGGACGGACACGCTTCCTCACACACAGCGGAGCCAGAACAGCGCGTCCAACGGCCCGCCACATCGGGGGCTCACCTGTGAGATGGGGTAGATCTGTAGCGCGTCCATGCCCACGCGCGGGTTGTACACCTTGAGCTTGCAGTAGCCGGCGTCGACGACGAACATGATGCCGTCGACGGTCAGCGACGTCTCGGCGATGTTGGTGGCGACGACGCACTTGCGGATGCCGTCGGGGGCCTTCTGGAAGATCTTGGCCTGCAGGTCGGACGGCAGCTGCGAGTAGATGGGCAGCACGGCCAGCGGCGGCGCGTCGTCCACCTCGTTCAGCCGCTCCGTCACCTGGTCGCACGTAACCTCGATGTCCTCCTGACCGGGCATGAAGACGAGCAGGTCGCCCTCCTCCGACTGCAGGTGCACCTGCAGCACCTGCTTCACGGCCGCGTCCACGTAGTCCTCCACCGGGTTCCTGCTGTACAGCACGTCCACGGGAAACGTCCGGCCGGGGATGATGAACACAGGCACGTTGCCGAAGAACTCGGCGAACTTGTCGGCGTTCATGGTGGCCGAGGTGACGATGAGCTTGAGGTCGTGCCGGCGCGACACCACCTCGCGCAACAGGCCGAACAGCACGTCCGTGCTGAGCGAGCGCTCGTGCGCCTCGTCCATGATGATGGCACTGTAGTGGTCCAGGTCGGACTCGCGCAGGGACTCACGCAGCAGGATGCCGTCCGTCATGTACTTGATGGTGGTCTTCTCGCTGGTGCAGTCCTCGAAGCGGATGGCGTAACCCACCTCGCCGCCCAGCTCCACCTGGCGGTCGCCGGCGGAGGTCAGAACCGCGGGAACACGACCGCCGGAGTCAAGTGGGTTAGAGGGGACAGAGGTGGGGGGAGGGGGGGGATACGCTGGCACTCAGAGATGACACGGCACAGTCAGGGCAAACCTGGGACAAACAAATTGTTATGATTCAAGTGACACCTCCGGAATTCCTTTTGACTAAACCTTACGCGCGTGACCCCATCAATACCAGTTGGCAGCAATTGTGCACCCATAGCAAGACCGGCAACGGGTCGATGATAAGGCCTTGGCCATGTTTCGCACTTGCCACAAATAGACAAAGACACAGAGGAGTCGGCAGCCTACGCACGGACAGGCCAGCTTTGCGCGTCTGCTCACCAAAGGAGCGAAACAACCCCAACGTCCGCACGGCCGACGCACGGTAGTTGGACAATCGTCAACGACTTATCGCGACTAGCAACTCCACGGCGCGCGGCCGCCACACCACACTCACATCCATCTCGTCAGCGACGCGCTTGGCCACGGACATGGCGGCGACGCGGCGCGGCTGCGTGCAGCCGATCCTGCCCAGCCGGCTGTAGCCGTCCTCGTGCAGGTACTGCGTCAGCTGGGTGGTCTTGCCGCTGCCTGTCTCGCCCACCACCACCACCACGCTGTTGTCGCGGATGACGTTGAGCAGCTGCTGGCGCACGGCGAAGGCGGGCAGGTACTGGCGCTGCTGGCGGAGCGTGCGTCGCTGCGCGAAATCGGAGCTGGCCTCGGTCGGGCCGCGCATGTGGTCGGCGAACTTCTGGTCGGTGCGGTAGTCGGTCGTGTCGTCCGCCGCCTGCCGGTCGTCCGTCTCGGCCTTCTTCTCGATGCCCATGATGTCGCCCAGCTTGGTGCCGGCCAGCTCCCAGTGCTTGGCCTGCGCCTTGCGTCGCTCCTTCTGCTCGCGGTGCGCGCGCACCAGCGCCGAGCCCTTGCGAGCCACCGTCGCCATGTCGGAGGTGGGGTCCCGCACGGGCACCACCGGCTCCGGCTGCTTGGTGAACACGATGCGGCCGTCGAGGAACGGCGGCAGGATGTTGTGCACCATAAGGTGGACACGCGCCTCGTTCTCCTCCTCAAAATCGTCGTCGAAGTCAAGCTTCTGCACGACGCCCGAGCGCAGCATGCGGTTCGTCTCCCACATCTCGTTGTCCTTGTTGATCTGGAACTGCTGCGCCGACATGCGCTTCCGCTTCCGCTCCTCCAGCTGCTTCTCCTTCTTCTGCGTGTACTCCTGGCTGACGTCGGAGAACGGGTTGTTCGTGTCGTCGTAGCCCTCGTCCAGGCCGTACCACTCGCGGTCGAGCCGTCGCTGTTCGCCCTCCCACGCCGCCCGCTCCTCCTCGGTCATCTCCTTGCGCGGCTCGGTCGCCTCACCGCCGCGACCGCGCATCCAGGTGTTCTTCTTGTGCACGGGCGTGGGCAGCGGCGTGTCGGCAACGCGGCGCGACCAGGCCTCGTCGCCGCGACGCGAAGACGGCGTCGGCAGATCCCAGGCGGAGCGGCGCGCCGGCGTGGTGTCCTCCTCGTCCCAGGCGCTGCGCGACGGCGTGTCCTTGACACCCAGCCGCGGCGTGGCCGGCGCGTCGCTGAAGTGGGCAGGCGTGTCGCGCCAGCTGCTGCGGTGCGAGCGCTCCGAGTGGTCGAAGCGCTCGGACCGTTCGGAGCGGCCGCCGGCGCGCCGCTCCGATCCCTCACGCCCGCGGTCTCTGTTCCTCTCTCTCTCGCGGTCCCTGTTCCGGTCGCGGTCGCGGTCGCGATCACGGTCGCGGTCGCGGTCGCGGTCCCGGTCTCGGTCCCTGTCCCTGTCCCGGTCCCGGTCCCGGTCCCGGTCCCGATCGCCGTGCCGGTGGCGCTCGCGGCCTGCCTCGCCGCGGCTGTCGGCGTGCAGAGCGCCGCGGCCGCGCTCATCGCGCCGCACCGCCTGCCGCCGCTGGTACGCGCCGCTCACGCCCCCAGAGTGGCTCGGCGTCTCGTCCGCCGGCGCGCGGAAGTGGCGGCCGCGCGCGTCCTCGCGCTCCTGGTGCGAGCGCGGCCGCGCCTCCTCCGCGGACGCGTCCTCGGCGCGCAGCTTGCGCTCCTGGCGCTGGTCCTCTTCGATCTTGCGCTTGAGCGCGGCCAGCCGCTCGAGGCCCAGGCCGCCACTCGGCTTCGGGCGGGCCGGCTGCGGCGCGGCGTCCGCCGGCTTCTTGAAGATGAGCCCGCCCTTCTCGTTGCCCGTCGAGCCCTCCAGCCGGTGGATGGAGTCCATGGTGACGTCAGCTGGGAGCGCTGGGGTGCACAGACATGATGTGTTACAAGAAATAGTACAAAACATGATCAGGTGAATACAGATTAATAGGCACACTGTTTGATGTGTCTTGAGCTGGGGATAGCCTTCCAGAAACTTGTGGGTTTTCCAGGTAAATAAAACAATGACTACAACATATGTGATTAATCTCAAGACCTGTACTGTAAATTCTCATCCTTTGCCATTAAGGTGGAATAGGAAACAGGAAGGGAGAAATCTTCATCATTTGCTATCATTGAGGTGAAATAGAAAAGGACAAGGGGAGAAAAAGAGCAGAGAAGACAAAATTTTCATTGCAACTGTGCTGTAATTAATCTCATTATGACACCAATACACATCCGGTGTGAGACTGTTATAATATGCATGATGGCTTTTTCAGACATCCCTCCAGCAGTACTCCACAACCACCACATCTTCACTGGTGGTGCAATGACACATTGCAAGCCACCAAGCTCGAACAATGGCCAAAACGTATAATCGTCCCCTTCTTTGCTTTTCCCTCTTCTCTTTCCATGCATGCAGATGGTGATGATTATCATGCCTGATGATCATGTGCCTAATCAAAATGTATGCCCCTCTTCTTCTACCTTTGAAATATCACTCAACATCATCATACATAATCCATTCTGCATTATACTTGACAGCTTAAGGAAACTGGACCTGACTGGAGCAGCCAACGAGTCACTTTTAGAAATATGTAGAAACAAATTGTGGTTTGCTGTCTAGACTCTCATAACACATTTGTTTTAATAGGCAGATATACTTGTTATATTTCTGCCATGTATTTGACTATGCCATGTACATAGACCCTATTAGGAGCTATTGCAATATCTGGCAGGGATAAACACACTGTGTCAGCACTTGATAGCCTAGCATAATAGTAAATCACTTAAAAATGCTACGTATCTGCTTTGGTTAACATAACAGCGCAATTGCGGATAAAAAACAAAATTGCTATTAGGTTCTGAAATATCAGTCAGAAATATTTTACATATTCCATGCAACCTTGCATCTATAACTAAAAGATAACCCAGTGACAAATGTGTACAATGCACACAACATAAAGTTGCATACAGACAGCTGGATGCCTGGCCATACATAGCCACATGGGACCAATAATTCAAATAATCATGAAGTGCTATGGGGAAAGGAAGCATGGGAAGAACATCAGATGCCCTCTGTCCCCAGGCCATCAATCAACTCACACTGCAGATGGAAGAGAGACGATGCTCAATGAACACTGGTAATAATGGAGAACATCGCAGAACACCACACCAAACCCAGCACCTTCGATTTCCTGCACAGCTACCGCGTAATCCCAATCAGACAACTTGCACTAGCGATGACATACGCCATTTCTGCACGGTTAACAGCATAACGCAAGGCAACTCCTACCAGTGTGTTATCCCCGGGTCCTCATAATACACGCGAAAGGCAACTCCCCACGCGACCGCTTCGCAACCTACAACGCACGTAAACGTATATCGCGAAGGTTGCCGTAAGAAGCCGGTTAAAGATATGACCAAAAAATAGTCAGGAGCCACAGGAAATACTGAAAACAGAGCAGAAAGCCCTAATGATTGATAAGAAGAAGACGACATGCATTAGAGAACGCATACTTTAAAAAAACATGCCATCAAGTTGCAAAACCGAGGATTGGAGGCGCTACAGGAAAGAACTGCAGAACAATGGATGTCCTTCAACATTTACTCTCATTTGTACACATTAAGTAGGTTTAATTCGAAGACTAAATGCTGAAAGATATTCACTCTGTATAATTTTGATAACATGCAGTTAAGTACAGACTATAAATGTATGCACAAGTGTAATGCTCGATAATCACTCTGGGTGGTTTGGTGCATTCTTAGTATAGTTTGGTACTTACACACCATCTAAGTATTTACGGTATCTTAAAGCAAGACAACTATGGCGAGCTATCTACATTGCACACCCTCGTAATGGCGCGAAGGCGGGTGTGCGGAAAGGGAAGAACGGGAGCAGGGGTGTTGTTTGTGAGCAATTTGGTTATATCAGGGCGCTGGTTATATCGGTAGGTGGGTTCCTATCTCCATACTTTGCTCGTGACCGTGTGTGTATTGCCAGCGTGTAATAGTATATCACGAAGCCTCACAAACAGTTGTAAGCCTTACAAACGGAACATCTACAAACAGTTGTGGTTGCCATCCATTTGGAGGGGTGTTTTGTGTGATTGACTCCTTCATCATTGGTAGGGTTTGTTTGCCTGGATAGGCGGTTCCGTAATCAAGAAAAAAAACATAATTTTACCATAGAAAGTAGAAAACCTGTCTGTTCATCTTAAAAACTTCCTGAGCTGTGCAAGCTCTGCTTGCTGATTTGTGTAGGTGTACTTTCCTACCTAGCGTTAGAAAAAATCATCGCACACCATTTGTTGTGTTTAAGGCGGCACATATAAATAATCTCAAAACAGGAAACACGACAAATGGTGTACAATTATTTTTTCTAACGTTAGGTAGGAAAGTACACCCTGACCCTGATTTGCATAGCCTATTACATTGTGTATTAAAACATTATTTTGATTTATTGAATGCAATTTTCGCTCTTCTGTATGTGACATGCTATTTATTTCATGCAGAAAAAACATCTCTTTCAGTTTGGACCAGAAGAATAAGAACAATGGTGCTTGATGAGAAAACTGATAGCAACCTGCCATGGGTTGAAAAGTACAGACCAAAACAGCTGTCTGATTTAATATCGCATGAAGAAATAATCAAAACAAGTGAGAAGCCAAGCTGGTGATGTGGGTGTGGGTGATCATGACATCCATGTCCTAGATGCTTAGAAGTCTTACCAAGTTATTTGTTTACATTTGGCACTTGAGATACTTAAATTATGAAATATTGGAGTCCTAGAAACATTATGCTGCTAATTTGTTACCCTGCCACATTTTTAGTTGGCTTTTGTGTGTTTGCATGATAGATGTGGGATGATGAACGACCCAATATGCGGGGTGCTGATGGAGCAACATGTTTGTGTTAACCATTGACACCCAGGAAGCTAGAGGTATGGGCTTTGATTCCCATTGTGCCCACCCTTCCTGCCAGGGCGAGGCAGGCAACACAATAAAGCCCCAGCAGCTAAGCATGTCATAGAGCCCCAATGGTGCCAAACAACATAGCCCAATGGGCAGAAAGATGTAATATCCACTTAGAGGAAAACATGGCCATAATCAGTTTTTTCATACTTAACATTTCTCTGTCTTGTAAGCCACACATGTTTTGTAAAAAAAGATCTGTCTCATTTTTTTGTCAGGCCTGATAAATTGGCACATCTTACATTTGTGTGTGTTTTGCAATCAAGGTGTTTGAGGCAATCAAGGTGTACTAGAAAGGTGTCTCCAGAATCAGGATATGATTTCATTGACATGTTTGGTTACAGCCATGCTGGTTTTCAACACTTCTCAGCCATTTCTGCTTCTGCTCATAAAAGGCCATTGAAATCAGCCTGATTCTGATGACCCTTGAAAAATATATTTGGCCCATTTACCTTCCACAGAAGCAGAAGCAGTGTACCAAAAATGTATCAACCTTCCTTGATGTATCTTACATTCAAGTTTATCTGTGCAGTTGATCGATTTATGAAAGAAGATGCCCTTCCACATCTGCTGTTCTACGGACCCCCGGGCACGGGCAAGACGTCGACGATTCTGGCCTGTGCCAAACAGCTGTACAAGCCGAGCGAGTTCCAGGCGATGGTGAGTTTGTCGATCGTAGTTAGCAAACCGTGGTGCCACCAGCCTTCAGCAGTGACGTGCACTGCACCATCGGTCCCCGGGTGCGGGACGCGCTGCACCAACAAACCCCGCCGCTCTCCCGAGGTGCGACATACCGCTGCTGCTGGACTCCAATGTGTGTCGCACCACCGGTCGTCAGTCGGGACATGTCTCATCATCTCTCCTGTACCGGCGGTCAGGTGCTGGAGCTGAACGCGTCGGACGACCGCGGCATCGGCGCCGTGAGAAACCAGATCCAGAGCTTCGCCAGCACGCGGACCATCTTCAACCGCGGCTTTCAAGCTGATCATCCTGGACGAGGCGGACGCCATGACCAAGGACGCGCAGAACGCCCTGCGCCGCAGTGAGTGACCCCGGGGAACTCAAAAACAGCCCGCGTTGTAGCTGGCGACAAACAAGCGTTTATGTTGTGCGGATTTATTGCCAGGAAGCATTAGTATCTTTCTCCTCTATTAGTCCGAACAGTTGTTCCATCCATGGAGCGTTTAAGTATTAGTGGCGGGCGTTCTACTCCGAAAGTCCGTCGCGTTTGGAGTTATTGATCCCCCCCGAGCCCGTGTCAGGCACGTGCATCACGTGGCACACTGGCACATGAATGTGGGTGTGATACACATCATCCGTTGCATAACGCCTGCCGTGCACCGGCCGTCAGTCATCGAGAAGTATACGGAGAACGTGCGGTTCTGCCTGATCTGCAACTACCTGAGCAAGATCATCCCGGCCATCCAGTCGCGCTGCACGCGGTTCCGGTTCGGCCCACTGGCCGCGGACCAGGTGGCGCCGCGGCTCGACGCCGTGGTCCAGGCCGAGAGGTGGGCAGCCCCGCGCCGGAGCCCGGCCCCACGCGTGCTGATGGAGGGCCTGTGGTGTTGGCTGAGGGCGCTGCGTTAACCCGGGCGAGCAAGCTCCGGCTGTTGTGGCGCCTGAGTTGAACACGTGGACTATCATGCAAACCGCGTGTTTCTTGCTGTCTCGTTGATCCACAGTGTTGGGCATGTTTTCCTTTACTTCTACTTCTACGGGCCGGACGTTTCGCTGCCCCCCCCCCCCCCCCCCCCCCCTCCTGTGGAGACGTAACGATCGTGCTGCCGAGATGCTTGAGCGCACGTTGCAAGCGCTGCTGTCACCTGTCATTGGGTCCCCTGTCCCTGCCCACAGTGCCGTCTCGTCGCCTCACCGTCCCTTCATCGGGACCACACTGCCACGCATACCACCAGCGTGACCGCCAGCGACCAGCGTGACCACGCCTCTCATTTCCAAACCCCAGCGTGACCACGCCCCCTCATCACAAAACCCCAGCATGACCACGCCCCCTCATCACCAAACCCCAGAGTGACCACGCATCCCCCACCTCCGGGCGCTGCGTGACTCCCCCTCCTTCCACCAGCGTGGAGATCACGCCGGACGGGCGCCAGGCGCTGCTGGACCTGGCCGGCGGCGACATGCGCCGCGTGCTGAACATCCTGCAGGCCACCTGGATCGCGTTCGGCCGCGTCACCGAGCACAACGTATACACGTGCATCGGCCACCCGCTGACCTCCGACATCACGGCCATCGTCAACTGGATGCTGAACGAGGACGTGGCCACGGCGCACCGCAGTCAGTGCCACGTGTTTGGTGTCCGGCGCTGCGGTCACGCGCCGCAGCCGCTGGATGGATTGATGCGTGACGCCGGGCCGCGCGCCACGGCTTATCGATTGACGGAATGATTTGAGAATGATTGATCCGGTGATGGGAGATGATTTGAGAATGGTTGGTCTCGTGATGGGAGAGGTCGACCGGAACAGGCGGCTGACAATGTTTGTTGGTGGATGTGGCGGTGCTGAGACTGGGGAGTGATAGTGGACCTGTTCGTAGTCCGCTGGCGAGGCCGGTGACCATCCTCCGGGCTGCGTCGGTGACCCCACCGGTCGTGGGCGACTCTACAGTTCGTCGGTGATCCCACCGGTCGTGGGCGACTCCACAGTTCGTCGGTGACCCCACCGGTCGTAGGCGATTCCACAGGTTGTCGGTGACCCACCGTTCGCCCGACGCTCCTCGCAGCGGTCGCTGTCAGCGAGCGGCACTGACGATGGCTCTGTCCGCTCGCAGAGATCACCGAACTCAAAACGGCCAAAGGTTTGGCCCTGCAAGACGTGATAACCGAGGTCCACAAGCTCGTCCACCGCAGTGAGTGTCCGTCGGCCCGGGCGGACAGGCGGCCGGGGTTCCCGCCACGGCAGGCCCTGTACTGACCGTCCTAACACCGGCCTCGGCTTCTCAGGGCTGTAGCACGTCCCACCTCTGGTGACGGGGTTGCGAACACTGCGCCACATTAGCACACAGCCTTAAATGAATGCCACACATGAACTTGAACTCCAGCGGGGCGCCTGCTCGGAACGCGCCCCGGGTGGATGCCGCGCGATTGCCAGGCCCCGGCCGCGAATTTCCTCACGACGCCGAGCTGACGTTTGTAAGTCACATGCGAGTGCCGAGGACAGGCGGTGTAAACGGCGTTTACACGTTGCCGTATACGTTATACGTTGCCGACTGATTGTGATACTGATTTGGACACATTTGGCAGTGACAAACTTACGATAAGACTTACGTCATGTTTTTTATGACGTGCGCTGTTCGCCTAGTACGGATACGTTTTATGGCACCGAATTATGGTTGGTGAAGAGGAGCCAGCGACAGATGCGAAATACGTAGTGGAGAGCGCCCCGTGGTCGGTAACGTCCCTGGCGCCATCTGCTGGCAAAGGTCATTGTACCCTGTACTCACGCCCTGAGGCGAGGACCGCGTTCACGTAGTGGTCTCCGCGCACACCACGTACACTTCCCAGCCAGCACCATCTGCTCGACCTAGACCACCAGGCTCAGTGTCGTCGCCCGGCCGCGGCACCGGCGGCCGCTCTGACCGCTCGCCCCACCCCGCCCCCAGTCGACCTGCCGTCAACGGCCAAGACGGGCGTGCTGTACCGGCTGGGCGAGCTGGAGCACCAGCTGAGCCGCGGCGCCACCGAGACCATTCAGCTGGCTGGCCTCATCGCCGCCTTCCAGCTGACCAAGCATCAGGTGGCCCAGGTCGCCAACGCCGCTTGACGTCATCACGTGACGTCACCCATGTCCGCCGCGTCGAGTGCAGTAATAACACGTGTTTTGTAAAAATGTATGTTTCTGGATGGGTTTCTTCCTACCATGGTTCACAGTTGGACGGTGCCCGACATGAGACGGGGCGCAGAGCACGTCGGCTACATCAATTCTCACATCGCGCACGCGTAGTTACTAGATCAGCTGAGCGGGGGCTACACATTTGTCATGTGCCGACCATATTTGACGCCGGTGATGTTTATCTTCAGATCTAGCACATGAAAACATAGTCGGAGAACAGGGTGTCATAACAAAGTGATAAGAACACGCGAGGCAGCATGCGAAAATACATACAAACACTACCACACCTGACTTAAGAATCACAATCATTCACCACATCCCCGAGGCCAGCCGAGGAGACTGTTTTCATCAGCCGGCTCTTCGCAGTACGAGACTGGGCGCCCCGGCCAGCGCGGCCGCCAGCACGGCCAGCCCGGGGGCGGCTCCTTGCAGTACGAGGCAGGGCGCCCCGGCCGGCACGGCCTGCCCGCGGGCCACCGCAGCACTCGCAGCACAGCGCCGCGCTCACTTGGGCGCCACGTACTTATGCACCTTGCCGCCGTAGCGGGACACGAACTGGTCCACCTTGAACTTGCGCTTGCAGCCCTGATAGTTCATGTAGCGTATCTTGCCGAACACGGGCCGCTCGGCCCAGCCCTGGTCGTGGATGCCGCAGATCGACCACATGCACCCTGCGAACCGGCCGGCCGTCACTGGAGGCGGCTCGCGGAGAAGTAGTGGTCGGGGGGGGGGGGGGGGGGGGGGGCGGGTCACACGGTCGGGCCGGGGCCGAGTTCAGACGTAAGTGAACAATCACGAGCGAGACTGTAGCCGAGACGCGGTAGCTGGTCTGAGGGCGTTTGAACGAGCTGAACCGGGCAGACATCCCTGCTACGACAACTACGGCAACGACGCAAGATAGCGCCAGAACCACCTACGAATCAGATCACCCCCAGGAGAATCTCCGCTGAAAAAACCTCACCACTGAGTCCAGGAGTCCTGGACTCCCCCAGATCGAGGACTAACCAACCCATCACCGCCGACAGGAGTCCCATCGTCCAGTACCGGTTTCCACACTACCGCCTGGCCGACGGCTCAGAGCTCCCCGCAATCCTTTCCCCAGCTTACTCACCCACGTAACCGTTGGGATCACGGCCGTCCAGGGAGAAGCGGTCATTGAGGTAGATCGCCGTTGCCAGCGCCTCCTCGGGCGACGGCGTCCACTCCAGCACCTTCTTGGCCCAGTACATCCGCAGGAAGCCATGCATCTTGCCCTCCTGCACCATCTGGATCTGCAGGTGTCGAAGGCAGGGTGATGGCGGGGGGGGGGGGGGGGGTCGGAGTTCGGTGCTGGATTTTCCACCCGCCTGCGCGATGTCGACTGCGCGATCAGCACCTCGCACGACCCGCCCATCGAATGTGTACCGAGTGTGCAGGATTGGCAGTGGGGACTCGCCATCCAGATCACGATCGGTCCCCAGCTTCCGCACAGAGGCGCCAATCCTAATTCTGCCGCTACCCCACGAGCGGAACAGACGTTGACAGGCTGTAGTTTAACGGCAAAGCAGGCCAAGCAGACCGTATTTGGGCCAATGCGTCGGGAGCCGGGAAGAGCGCAGGCCGCCGGCCAGTCCAGCCGGAACGACAGGCTGCCAGCGGCCAGCGGAACGACAGTCCAGCCGCCACCAAGAGGACTAAGGGCGGGGCCGCAAGGGCCACGAGCAGGGTCGCAGGGCCCAAGACCAGGGCCGCAGGGGCCAAGAGCAGGGTCACAAGGGCCAAGGGCAGGGCTGCAAGGGTCAAGAGCAGGGTCGCAAGTGCCAAGACCAGGGAGGCAGGGCCCAAGAGCAGGGCCGCAAGAGTTAAGAGCAGGGTCACAAGGGCCAGGAGCAGGGCCGCAGGGCACAAGACCAGGGCCGCAGGGGCCAAGAGCAGGGCTGCAAGAGTTATGGGCAGGGCCGGAAGGGTCAAGAGCAGGGCCACAGGGGCCAAGAGCAGGGCCGCAAGAGTTATGGGCAGGGCCGTAAGGGCTAAGAACAGGGCCACAGGGGCCAAGAGCAGGGCCGCAAGAGTTAAGGGCAGGGCCGCAAGGGCCAGGAGCAGGGTCGCAAGAGTTAAGAGCAGGGCCGTAGGGGCCAAGAGCATGGCCGCAAGAGTTAAGAGCAGGGCCGCAAGGGCCAAGAGCAGGGTCGCAAGAGTTAAAAGCAGGACCGCAGGGGCCAAGAGCAGGGCCGTAAGAGTTAAGAGCAAGGCCGCAGGGGCCAAGAGCAGAGCCACAAGAGTTAAGAGCAGGGCCGTAAGGGCCAAGAGCAGGGCCGCAGGGGCCAAGAGCAGGGCCGCAAGAGTTAAGAGCAGGGCCGCAGGGGCCAAGAGCAGGGCCGCAAGAATTAAGAGCAGGGCCGCAATAATTAAGAGCAGGGCCGCAGGGCCAAGAGCAGGGCCGCAAGAGTTAAAAGCAAGGCCGCAGGGGCCAAGAGCAGGGCCGCAAGAGTTACGAGCAGGGCCGCAAGAGTTAAGAGCAAGGCCGCAGGGGCCAAGAGCAGGGCCGCAAGAGTTGAGCAGGGCCGCAGGGGCCAAGAGCAGGGCCACAGGGGCCAAGAGCAGGGCGCAAGAGCGGCCCGCAGGGGCCAGAGCAGGGCCGCAAGAGGGCAAGGCCGCAAGAGTGCACAAGCAGTGCAGGCCGCGGGGCCAAGAGCAGGGGCACAGTAAGAGCAGCCAGGGACCGCAAGAGTTAGAGCAGGCCGCAAGGGCCCGAGCAGGGCCGCAAGAGCAAAAGCAGGGCCGCAGGGGCCAAGAGCAGGGCCACAGGGGCCAAGAGCAGGGCCGCAAGAGTTAAGAGCAGGGCCGCAGGGGTCAAGGGCAGGACCGCAAGGGACTCTTGTCTGGCGCGAGCTGTCACCGGGACGCGAGTCAAGTGGCCCCACATAACCCGTGCGACTGCGCTTTCGTTTGACGTCCAGCCGTTGAGCGTCGACTCGCAGAGCCGCGGTGAGGACATTGGCATTGGCCAGCCACACCGGCACGCGACCCGCTCGACGGCGCGAGTGATCGTGACCGGACCGTGCTTCCGTTCGCCGTCGTCAGCGGCCACAGGCGCTCTCACCTGGGCCGCGTTCCAGAGGTCGTCGTGCGTCTGCGCCGCCGCCAGCTGCTCTCGGCTGTACAGGTACTCCCGTTTGTCCTTGCTGCGGGAACATCAGACGAGCAGTCAACAGGCGCACAGCTGTCAGCGACCTGCTCTCGGCTAGTGTCATCTTGCGTGCCTGTATGTTTGCCAACTGCTTCAATGTTAATGTCTTCATGGGGCCTGTCAGGCTCTCTGAGGAGCGCCACGCCGCTGGGATTAGTGAACAATTCGTCACCCACTACGTTATATTGTCGCACCTATGAAAAGGTAATCATCTGGGAAGACTAAATGTAATCATTTGACTCCATCGAACTTGACCATCTGCCGTCGTCACTACTGATTAAACAAAACAAAAACGTGGGCGGCTCGCAATCGCGTGGTGAGACAAGACAATGACTCGGATTTGACAATCGACGCCGAAGCGTCAGGTGTCGCCGTCATCTTAGCCGATCTCCAGCTGCCAGGCGGTGTCCTCCGTTCAAAACACGCGGCGTGATACGGTAATGCTTCTGATCCTCGCCCACACAGCACCGGTGCCTGCCTTTCCCACCCGTTCGGCTGCGGCGCCAGGACAGGACAGCGCAGGCCCTCTGCCGACCGAGTCCGTTCTCACCGGTGCGCCTTCAGCGTGTCGCCGGCCCAGCCGTAGGCGCCCTCCACGCTGTCGTAGTGCGGCTGGTAGTAGCAGAAGTTGTCAGCCAGCTCCCGGCGTACGACGGCCTCCTCCACGAACGCCTGCACGGCCTTGCTGTGGCGGCTGCTGTGGCGGCGCACCTCCAGCACCGCCCGCTGCGCCGACAGCTGACCTGGGGTCACGGTCAGCGTCGGTCAAGGCAGAGAAACTGAGGACGCCAAGGGCGCGACGAGAGAGCTTGTCACAGCTGGCGCTTCATGGGAGCTGACCTGGGGTCACGGGAGCAGTGGGTCGGGTAAGCGACTGACCTGGGGTCACGGAGGCCTCGGTCTGATGAGCAGCTGACCTGGGATCACGGAGGCCGTGGTTCGGGTAAGCAGCTGACCTGGGATCACGGAGGCCGTGGTTCGGGTACGCGGCTGACCTGGGATCACGGAGGCCGTGGTTCGGGTAAGCAGCTGACCTGGGATCACGGAAGCCGTGGTTCGGGTAAGCAGCTGACCTGGGATCGCGGGGGCCTGGGTCGGGTAAGCAGCTGACCTGGGATCACGGAGGCCGTGGTTCGGGTAAGCAGCTGACCTGGGATCACGGAGGCCGTGGGGCGGGTAAGCAGCTGACCTGGGCTCACGGAGGCCGTGGGTCGGGTAAGCAGCTGACCTGGGGTCACGGAGGCCGCGGGTCGGGCAAGCAGCCGACCTGGGATCACGGAGGCGATGGGCCTGGATACGGTCCGGGGGCACGGGGACGGCGAGTCGGAAGAGTCGACCTGGGGCCATGTGGGCGGCCGTCCGGGGAGACTGACATGGCGACGCGGGCAGCAGGTCAGAGAGACTTGGCGTCGTCAATGGAAGCAACCAATCGGGTGGCTGACCTGGCGCTGCACGGACAGCGGGCCCGGTGGGCTCGCCTGAGGTCATGGGGCACATCAGGAAGAACATGAACAGAAGCGCCCCCCCCCCCCCTGAAGCACACCCCGTCATTGGCCAGCCTTGTACGCCAGAGGAACGGAGCCGGGCCCGGGCGGCCACGTAGGCTGTCTGGTGCGATCGTGTAAGCCAAGCCGTCTGGTGCATCCAGCCCGGCTGAACGCCGCCCGCCAGCCAGCGCCAGGGACGGCATACGTCACCGTCGGCGAGCCCGGCTGGTCAGTCAAACCCACACTCACCAAACCGGGCTGACGGAAACGAGTTTCCTGCCATCGCGCCTAACAGTACACTGGTCTTATCACACGCTACCAGCCTCCCACCATCCGGCTCAGTGGTCTAGGGGTATGATTCCTGCTTTGGGTGCAGGAGGTCCCGGGTTCAAATCCCGGCTGAGCCCTTTTCGCATCCAACATGACTACACAGCTATGTCAACCCACCGCTCCCAGCCACACAATGCATACAAATAAATGCTACAATTGCACGGTATGCCTCCCGGCCCGTAGAAGCTGCTTCGAGTCGCGGGTTTTCAGAGGAGGCCGGGGTGTACACCGGCAAAACACCAGCAGCACTAAAATCCGAGCAGTGCATCATTGTTGCGCAACTGCTTTCACTGTAAAAGTCGCTGGAAATTTCATTTTGATTGCGCTTGTTTGAAATTTCCCCCAGGTCAGGTCTCGGCCGGCTGCCATACCGCTGTCCATTCCGTTGTCATGAGCCGTGCCAGTTGATACTACATGACAACAGTTCGAATGACATGGATTCTGCCCAAACAGCCCCATTCACCCAAAATCAGCCGCCACCACGGGTCCCGAATTAGTGTTAAATTCTCGGTTCCCATGATTTAGGCCTGTCTGGTCCCTCACCCATGGCACATATGCTCCAAGTCAAGGCAATGCACACCAAAATTGAGGTAAAGCGCATGCATTCGGTCTCCTACGTGTTGTTGCTGTTTCATCTTTTTTCTTGTCGAAATACACGCATATGGAGACTGCAACAGCTATTGCTACTGATTGCGGCCCGTGGATCCCTCCAAATGCTCTTCGCACCGATGCCCCGCCCACCACTGGGGTGCAGGAGCGCGGGGGATATCCCAGGAGCCCGGCTGGGCCATTGGTGCGATCGGTTTCCGACAGCTGTATCCCGCACATTACTCTGCCGCGCCGTGGTGCCGCGCACAGATCGGCCCCCGTGAGACGGCCGACATTCCAGACACGTTTTGAGTGTCTGAGGTTGGTCAATTCGCGGCTATTCGGCGAGTCCATGTGTCCTTCTCAGACCGTGTGGTCGGCGGCCGGCTTCAGGCCGGCAGGCAGTAAGGGCGGAATACATGGGCGGCGGACACCCGATCTGAGCCTTATGGAGTGGAGCTTCAGCAAAAACGGCGGAGGTTCACATGAGCTCAAGACAAACAGAATTCACAGTTATTTGTTTAATGGCAGGCGATGCTGCCCGATCTCAGCTATTAACGAATATAACACGTGATAGTATAGGCGGCAGCCACCAGACAGCGAAGCTAGGCGGGGAACAAGTAGAGCCAAAAAGCGATATGAACAAAAACGCCAATCAAAGTGGGAGGACTCCACATATTTTGATATCGAATTCGTGTCCCGAATCACCGGATGTTCAGATCCAGCGTACCGTGCTGCATGGGGCCAGTGGCACATCCTGGCTCACTTCCACCGAGCCGCGGCAGTTCGGCGCCGGCGGCACTCCCAATCGCAGCACGAATCTCGTATCCCGTGTTTGCCTCAGTCTCGTCCAAAGACCAGCAACGAGCAACACATTTTTTTCTCTGGTAAAGCTCACCCGAATTTGATGTAGCACGCCTAAGGTGCTGTGTATGTAGTATTACGAAACAATGGGTGCAATGATCCTGCACGGAAACTGGGGCAAACGCGAATCTCGTAGTTGTTTCTCTACATGGACTAAGGACGCCCAGGACTAAATTAAAATCATTAAGTCATCTACATGCCATCAGCATCTGCAGACGGCATGCAGTCCGATGGGATAAACTGCGAGGTTGTCACAAGGTTAATGCCGGAGACCCATGAAATGGGACGCGCGGAGTTCCACCAGAGGGACAAATTGAGGACCCGTCTGTTGGGACACACCAGATACCGTCAGCCGACAGTCGCCTATCAGCACATCCAGGAACGTTATATGGCGTTTTGTGACCAGAGGTTGTCACATCTGACCAAAACACGGGTAATCAGTACCTAGTTTTGTACCGGCCACGGATGGGTAACAGTCCTTATTGTTTTGAAGCTGTCTCTAGCCATCCCTGTCTCAACACGCCGGCATTCTCGGTGCCTGATCTTTAGACGCCCTGGCGACGTTTACATGGACTGGAACTTGCTTTTCAGCACGTTACGTTATCAACCTGCAGCCTGATTATCAAAGGTTCGTTGCGAGGCGAAAAGGCAAAAACGACCGCCTCGTCTTCCTGATCTCCATTCCGTCCCAGCATGCCCCAGTCCTCGCCAGATCATCGGCGCCTCAGCACCCTCACCGTGCTCCAGCGGTCCGAGCGTCTCAACGGCAACGGGTCCTTCGCCCAGCCCTCCTCCCCGCGTCCCCAGCCGCCCACCCCCGCCACGGCGTCCATCGCCCCAGCCCTCCTCCCCACGTCCCCAGCCGCCCAGCCCCGCCGCGGCGTCCGTCGCCCCAGCCCTCCTCCCCACGTCCCCAGCCGCCCAGCCCCGCCGCCGCGTCCCCGACCCCTCACCGAAGTGGAGCCAGGGCGACAGGTTGCTGAGCGCCTCCACAGTCGGGTCGTTGCGTTTGTCGGCGAAGAGTCGCAGCCGACTGCGGCAAACTCGTCCAGCTGGCGGAGGGCGGCCGCCGCGCCGGGCCGCGCCCACTCCACCTCGGCCACCGTCCGGTCCACCTCCAGGCTGCGCTCGGCCGCCGCCCAGTCCACCGGCTGCCGGGCCGCCACACCGTCAGGCCCGGCCGGGGACAGGCAGATCACCGCCTGGGGACGGGCGCCGAGCGGGGACGGGCGGCCGTCGAGCGGGGACGGGCGGGCGCCGAGCGGGGACGGGCGGCCGTCGAGCGGGGACGGGCGGCCGTCGAGCGGGGACGGGCGGCCGTCAAGCGGGGACCGGCGGCCGCTGCTCGGGGGCGGGCGTCGAGCGGGCGGTGTGACGTCATCGGGGGAATGACGGAACGCAGGAGCTGGCTGTCCACTGGGACACACCGGGAGTTGTCACAAGGTTAACGCCGCGGACCCATGAGAAGGGACGCACGGAGTTCCACCAGAGGGACAAATCGAGGGCTTCTCTAGCGGGATACACCACGGATATACTGGACACCGTCCGCCAGGACGCACCGGTGTCCGACTGACACACCAAAGCACAGCATACACCAAGGTCCGCCCCGTCTCCTACCCCACAGCCCCCCTGACGGCGACCGGCGCACTGACCTGTCGCTTGCCGTCCGCAGCGTGCGGGTGTCTGAGCACCGGCGGGAACTCCGTGAGGAACTCGGGCAGCCGGTCCATGATCTTGCGCCGGATGGTGCGGGCGCCGTACTCCTGCTTGTCACTCGCAACCCAGCACGGCACCACGTTGTGCGCGTCCACCTGGCGGAGGAAATGTGAACCAGCTGTCAGCTAATCCGTAGTCTATTAACTGTCCGTCAGTCAGTTTGTCAGTGTCGGTTTGCAGTCTGTTAGCTGCCAGTCAGTCCGCAGTCTGTTAGCTGTCAGTCAGTTGGCAGCCTGCCAGCTGTCAGTCAGTTTACTGTCTGTCAGTCACTTTGCAGTCCGTCAGCAGTCAGTCTGTTGAAGCAGTCAGGGCCTACCACCAGGCGACATCAGCAGCAGCAACATTAATAACAACAGGTGACAAGCGAAAAGGAGGTGACGTGACTGTCGCCTACTTTCAGCTGGAGTAGGACAGGTGAGTAAGGGTCATCAAAACCATTGACATGATATCCACATTCTATTCACCCTTATTTTACTGTAGGTGTATCCAAGCGGTGATCGCCCTGAGCCTTGTCATTCTATTCACCCTTATTTTACTGTAGGTGTATCCAAGCGGTGATCGCCCTGAGCCTTGTCATTTCTTGTCACAGGGAAAGAGAAACACAGCACACAGAGAGAAAGTATACAACGCACAGGTAAAAGCAGATTTACTCAATGAGCCAGCGATTTAAAGCGATCAGGCAAGCCCAGCGAGAGAACGTGGACGGCCACCGCAGACAGGCCGTTCCACGCGTCCTAGGAAGGCTGTCCGGTAGTGGGACTTCGCCACAGGTATCTGAGCTCGCGGGCACCACATCAAGGTGCCAATCCCCAGGGCTGATCTTGGGGACCAGTGTCCGTCGGCGCTGTACACGCCGCACGCTGCGGCCTCCCCACAGACTGACCTGGCTGACACTGACGTCATTAGGAAGCGCTTCGATGACGTCATCCAGCCAGCGGCGAGGCACCCTGAGCGGCGCGAAGTCGGCGACCACGGCACCCGCGCCGTTGTCCGCGACGAACTTGACCAAGCTGGTGGAGGCCGGCCCGATCAGCAGGTGGAAGCCGATCCCCAGCCGAGAGCACTCCGTCTCCACCTCCCGCAGCCCTGGCGAGGGGGCGACAGAGTATGGCTACAGGTGGCACGCGAGGGGGACAGGGCGCGGCTACAGGTGATACCACCACCCACACTGTTCCGCCTTACGGAGCCCCGGTGTGAGGTGCGAAGTACGGTGACAGGGGATACCACCACCCACAGCTCCGCCTTACGGAGCCCCGGTGTGAGGTGCGAAGTACGGTGACAGGGGATACCACCACCCACACTGTTCCGCCTTACGGAGCCCCGGTGTGAGGTGCGAAGTACGGTGACAGGGGATACCACCACCCACAATATAACACCTTACGGAGCCCCGGTCCGGGGTATCGAGTACGGTGACAGGTGATAACATCACCCACACTGTAGCACCTTGCGGAGCTCCGGTGAAGGGGACGGAGGACGGCTACAGGTGATAACACCACCCACACTGTAACACCTCACAAAGCCATGGCAACACAGGACATCAGGCTAGCTGTTGCACACTCGTCACCGGAATCGAGAGGCATCATGAGTGACTCACCTTTCAACATGAACCCGTAATGTCTGATGGTGGCATCCAGAAACTTGGGCACCAGGCAGAAACACACGTGCAGGGGCAGCTTAAACTTGAGAGCTAGCTTCTGAGCAAACAGCAGGGCCCAGTTATCTGCGAAGGATGGAAATTGAAGGCTTGCTGTTGTGAACAGTACATTAGAAAAAAACACGACTTACCTAGATCTGCACCATTTATGCTTCTTGCGGAACGTTAACACACGGTCAGCATAAGAACTGCAAAATTTCAAAACGCATACAAAAACGCAAATACCGAAAGATAGTGACATAAAACGGATGTTGTAAATAGGCAAACGTTCCAACTACAAATCGGCTATAAGACGAACTCCTCCAACATATCAAATTGCAGAGATCAATACCATAAAGGTTCATGATTTCGATGGTGAACTCGTATTCAGACTATTTGAAAACCGATGTTAACACGTTCAGTAAGCTGAATCAAATTGCATCGCCAAAAAACCGCTCGTAGTACGCCTTTCCTCAGCAGAATGACGACAAAATCGCACCTATGTGCTAAAGCTTTGATCAGGTATTAACGCATATCGAAATCCAGCAGAGCTTTTCGTAGAGCCTGTGGCGTATGGTATATTTTGAGAACGCGTCTCTCAACACAATTTGAAAGACTTAAGACTGACATGTCTTACGCGCCGTGGGACGAGCAAGGTAATGACAAACGTGCGTTAACAACATGAAGGTAACATCAAAACCTAAGCTGATTGCTAATGTGGCAACCCACATAATAATGCGGCGCGTCAATATATTACCCGTGTTCCGGTTTAACACACCAAGAGGCAATGTACCTCACAAATTTTGCGAAACTCTAGCCTCTCCAAAATCTGTATCGCATGTCTTTCATCAACATACTCAAACTAAATCCTATTTGTGATGTAAAATGGGTGCACTTTTAAGCATTTTTACGGGGACAAAGGCTCCATGCCTCCAACAAGCTAGCACGCTCCGATACCGACAGCAAGCCCACATATAAGGATACCGGTTCAGGATAACCAATCTATACTTAGGTGGCATTTTGTTGCAGTACGTCACCTTGAACCCGCTGGTCCCTAGACATCCAGTACACCACGCTTCTGGCTTTTTCGGGAACTTCTTCAGCTGTGAGGATGCGGCACCTTTTCTTGTTGAATTTCCACCCCTTTTCTCGCAACTGCGAAGAGATCAGTATTCAGATATACAATAGCTAGGTTATATTAGCATTTTCAATGGTTTTAACACAACCTCTCAGTCGGGGGATCACAGTACGTCACAGTCAAACCAAAAAATGGCAATCATTTAACAACCTGCTTCCCTGATGATGATGATGATTCGGGCTTTGAGGCGCACAGACTACGTTGGCCATATGGCGCCCATAACCTGCTTCCCTGAATAAATGTTGTTGAGGTGAATGAGACCCACTTCACCATCACGCAGTTTCTTGGTCGAAATAACTAGTTATCATCGCCACTCATCGCTAAATGTTTAACAGTCCCGTCTTCCCAACGTTTGGGGAACCTTGTCTCCTTTATTGACGGCCCAAATTCAGTACCTGTTTCCTTTTATCTTCAATCTGCTTGTCGATTGGACAATCATCACTCTTCTTTTGCTTCTTATTGGGTGGTTCCGACATGGTTTCAGCCTGAAAGTATGAGCGATGTGATTATTGCACTATCACCGCAATAAGATTGCGGGAAAATATGATCCGATCCATGATCTCATAACTCATTTACAGCTCCATGTACAACATTTCGATGTCACATGCCGTGACAGCAGGACAAAATGTCACACGCGTCATGCCAAGTAATCATTTCATGTCCTTGTCAGATGCTCGTTGGACAAAAACGTTCGCATCGGGTACATCCTTCTGAGGGGCGCAATATTGATAGCGCTTCAGCCGATCTCCCGAAAGCCGAAAGAGAATACCGAGGTATGCTGCATGTGTTCCCACGTTGATTGGCCCCAGCAACCATACAGCGCGATATTCAGCTAGTGCCGATGTTTTAAGGAACTCGCACGCCCCGACATATTGATATAACTGTATTCCCTTAAGACACTGCAGACCAGGCCAACAGGCCCAAGCAAAATACAAAATGGCCATGTTACCAGTGCACATGTTTGTGAAAACAGCATCTACCTCCGGTGCTATCATTAGGAAGCATTAGTCCTGAAGCAGTGAATGTACTTAACCTCTTCTCTCCTCCCCCCTTCAATGCTTAACCACCATGTGATACAGTTACCAGCTTCCATCATCCGCCAGTCTGTTGCAACCATTCACATCTCATGCTCCCAGATTCTTTGGCCTGCAACTTGATACATTTTCTTTGGAATGCAATTGCCTGTAGGGATGCAAAATCCATGGTTGGAGTACCCTGATCCATAGCACCAAACAACCCCATTACAGACAATGCATTATAAAACATTGCATGGAGGCACACCAAGCTCTTAGCAATCATTGAATCACAACCTGACATTTGGTAGAAAGCTTATTTTAAACCAAGATCATGTCATGACAAAATGGGGTGGCAACAGAGATCTGTCATGATACTTCCGTTGGCGGCAGTCCCGTGCTTAGATTGCCAAGATCCAATAAATTGGCATGGCTCTGTGCCAGCTGCCAACCCAGGTCAATATCATGACACAGGGCTTCGTAATGTCACAGACATGAGTCCATGCTAGCTGTCAGCATTTTCTCATCAATGTTGGATCTAGTCAAAACACAATGTTTTTTCAGCCACTTTATTTGTATTTTCCTTCACTGTCACACACCATATCTCAGCAATACCTGAATATCTAACAAGGCAGCAGCAGTACCTCAGACACAATCTGAGCCACAAATACCAATTGGAGAGAGAATTGGTGCAGTTTCCTACAACACAATCTCTTTGCTGTCATATGGGGTCTCATACAATGCAGCTTCAGGCATGGCTGTCCACCAGCAGGCATGGTACATGCTCATCAGTTTTAAACCATGATAATTCCATGCATATTATACTATGTACATTTTTAAATTCACATTGCAGCATTTGAATGACAATATCTATGCAAGTGAGAGGATGCCTTCCAAACTTCTGGAATCAACAAGACCAATGTGTAATGTATATGCATGCAAAAATGGTACATTTACAGGTTGTAACATATTTTTGAATGTTTTATAATACATATTGGTCCAAGGGCACATAAGCTGATATTGCCAGGCACCAAATGCCAAACATCTGGAAGACCAGCAATATTGCTGCAACGATGTCATAACATGTATGCCATAAATATTCAAAGTTGGATGCATGTTCACTGCCAATGCAACTATGGCATGTCCTAAGGCCAAGGGGAAATATAAAGTTCTCAGGGGAATGTAGCCAAATCATGTTTAGGTAACTTGGCAGGCAACCAGAACAGGTAGGTGCCAGCCAGTCAAAAAATCATTCCCAGTGAATGCCTTTTGCATGCACAGTATTGCTGCAATGGGCCTCATGCTTGTGTAGCAGTACTTTGTTCAGGCCATGTCAAACTGTACTAAACTTCCAATGCTTTTTGCATGCATAGTTGTCTCACATGTTGGCTTGCTATGCACTGAAATTGGTATGGAGTGTGGACAGTGCACCAAACTCTGCACTCTGGAATTTATGGCAAACATGAGATGAATTTAACATGGTAATGACAGCAACATAATATTGTCAGTTGTCACAACCATCACCATGTGCCACATGCAGAGCTAACAACCTCTGCTACAATAACCAAAATTGGGCATTCATACATCAACAAAATATAAAAAGTGCAACACCTGATTTGACTTGCCGCCCAAATATTGTTTACAGCCATTTCTGACCTTATCAGTCGATTACATAAACTTGATCATAATGACCAGCAACAACCAGCCACACATGGCCAATCTAAATTTATTTTGCTCTTTGATTCGGAGCAAGTGATGATCAGAAAATCCCCACTAACATATGGAACTAAAACTAAGTCATAATTCACACACCAATGAAAACAGACAAATCACACTAACGAAACGAACGCGCCGCTCAACTTTTTGAAGGGATTTTTTACAATTTTTGTTGGTGCTGCGCAAGATTGAAAGAATATTTATAGATGAGAAATAAACATTTGTGTTATGTTTACTAAAATAATACTTCAGCTCAACAGATCTAAATCTTGCTTAATATATTAAATGATAAAAGACCATTTGGTGTCACTAGCAGTGCTAAAACGTTGTTTGTTGTTCTTAGCATTTAATTAAATTCCTTCTAGTCCTCCCAACAAAATCGGTTGCTACAATAGAAGCCAAAATGATGAAGTAGTGACAAACAGTGCGCAGCACTCGCACTACATTGTTGACACTTGGATGAGTATGAGTTGTTGGAATCCCTTGCGGACGCCAGGGTGGTTTGCGATCTTCGTTATAGGTGCACACATACATTTTCTCGCAGCTGGATGTGGTATGTCTGCTTTGTGCAGGAAGCAAGCAATCGATGTCACTTTAAGTTACAGGAAGATCACGGACAAATCATTGCAAACTGTTATACTTTGAATATCCTCATATAAGTCATATTTTTAGTCGCTATGTTTGAAAAAACTGACTTCATATTTTTAGTCACAATGTTTGAAAAACTAGGATATTAAAATTCCTGTGCAGATTTCTTCTTGGCCATATGTCGGAAGTTCTTTGCACCTAAAATACAAAGTTTGTTTTGTATAGGATTTAGAAGGTAAGAGAACAACAGGTTTAGTTTGTCACCTGACAGTAGTGTGACCAGATCTGGCAAATTTCCACCTTCCAAAAAGCTATCATTTGCTATGCATTCATGCAACCCTTGCTGGGCCAGACACATGCTGACATCCCTTCTGATAATCAGCATCTCAATACTTTGTGAATTTGGGAAAGTAACAGCACATGTTGTCTCCAGATGAGATAAGGGATGTTCACCAACATTGCATGCTTGCCATTGCTGCTCCACGTTTGTCTGATAGTTTTGCTAGGAATTATGCGGATTGTTGAACTGAGCACAATAAGCATAAAACATTATAAATTTGGTTGTGTGGGGAATAGTAAAACAATGATTCATTGCTGGTACTTGAACAGGCTAGTTGCTCAAGAGATCTGGCATAGCAGTGCTACAACATTCATAAGCAATTGATTTGGAGCACTGCTGACTTTATACCTCCTGCCCTGTCATTTTAACACATTACAGAATGCATATGGAGTTGGAGGATGTAAACCAGCACGAACATAATCATTAAAATTTCCTAGATAAAATGTTATAGAATGCAGATGGAGGTGGAGGACGTATATAAGATTGGGCACAATATTTAATATTGAAATGATTGTAAACATTTGAGAAAGCAACTACCCAAAATGCACATGGAGAAGGAAGACTTCTGCTGCACATTGGAGCATGGGTCACACACCATTTTTATGCTGCCTGTTGATGCAACTCATTGAGGGGATGAAAGCTGCTTCTTAGCAAATCACACAGTTTAGTTGCCCAGTGCTCACAATGTTCTTTTCACAGATGGAATAAGAAGAAAACATTGTGTAACATATTTGTGTTTATAAGTGAACTAAAAAAAACATTGTGGAACAAGCATCAGAAGACAGAAGTCCAAGAACATAGAAGCATGGCCACCATGACTCTAAACCAGTACTTAAGTCAGGTTTGTATAAGTCCAATGTTTTTCTCAGTTGTAATGTTGTAACTACTCACATAAGCTACCATTCATCAGCCTCACCTTGACTTGAGTGTTAGTCTGCCCAGATGCTCCATAATGATGTAGACTGATATGAGCTCACTTTGACACAACATTCCCAACTGAACTGTGAGCTGGTTGCTGCTTGCCATACTAACTGTGTTGGGCCTTGAGAGCTGCCCTGACTCCATCCGCCACTGGGGCTGGCAGGTGGGGTCGGCCTGGTCACGGCGGCGCGGCCCGGTGGCGGCCGATCTGCTCTCGCTGCGACACCCGCACGTCATGTCGGCCCGGCTGCAGCTGGAGCGGCCCGAGGACGAGGTGCAGGACGTGCTGGAGCCGCCGCTGGACGAGCTCGTTGCCGCCCACCTCAGGTAGGCGCGCCGGCCGGCGCCGTTCTCGACGTTCGGCTGTCATTTGGCGAACCACTCGCTGACTACCGCACTATACCATCCTGACTTATGTAGAAATCTGCGCATTGCTGTCCGCTCGCGCTCTGTTCTGCAGCCCTCGCTGTACGACCCCGGCCGCGCCACTCCGCGGTGGGTCGCCGTCAGCCGACGTCGGCGCGTCGGGATGTATGTCGGTGGCCTGGGCGTGGCTCGGGCCGTCGGTGGCGTACGGTGCGGACGGACGTGGCTACCGGGGGTTGGCTGACCCTGGCCCTGCATCAGGTGCCTGTGGGCCATGGCCAACCGCGACTTTGGTGAGGCGCATCGCTGCCAGAGCGCTGTCGTCTCGTGCTTCGCCAAGGTGTTCGTCACGCACAAGGATGATAACTGGGCCCTGCCGGTGATGAACACCATTTGCCTCGACCTCAGGTCAGTGGCGACTGGCTTTGAGGGCATTGGCACGGGACCTCAGGTCAGTGGGTGCGAGACGCGTCGGCAGTGGGCCTCATGTCGGCGGACCCGGAGCGTCAGATCTGTCTGGTCTTCAGGCCACTGGAGCCTGGAAAAGGGGGTAGTGGGTACGGAACGTGAGGTTGGTCTGGTCTTCGGGCCAGCGGGCACAGCGCTGTGCGTACTTGTCCTGTGGTGAACACTTAGCAGGGACTCGATACTGCACCAGGTCACCTCAGTTGTTTCAATGCACTGCGCCCCTAATGAGCTTCATAATCATTTACCCAATGTGTTTTGTTGTCCCAGCGTTGGTTGGCGATCCCGCGATCCCGTGTCATGTCTGCGGTATGACGGGCATCTGCGCCAGTACGCCGGCGTGCCGTCCCCGTGGTGCCCTTCCGTTCCATCGGATTCGTCTGCCGTGCCGTATCGTGCCCCCCCCCCCCCCATATTCTGACCCAGACTCTGTGCTGTATCGTGTCCCTCCCCCCTGTCCCCGTTTGACCCGGTCTCTGCCGCATCGTGCCACCGCCGTGCCCTTCTGACAGGTCTCTGCGTTGTATCGCGACCCTCCCCTTCCCCTTCTGACGGGGTCTCCGTGCTCTATCGTGTCCCTCCTCTTCCCCTTCTGACCTGGTATCTGTGTCGTAGCGTGTCACCGCCGCGCCCCTGTGACCCGGTCCCTGTGCTGCATCACACCACCAACGTGCCATTCTCATCAGTCTCTGTGTTGTATTATGAGCCTCCCCTTCCCCCTCTGACCCGGCCTCTGTGCCGTATCACGCCACCGCCGTGCCCTTCTGACCAGTCTCTGTGCTGTATCTTGCCCCTCCCCTTCCCCCTCTGACCCGGTCTCTGTGCCGTCCGCTGCGGGCGCAGGCGGGTGGCGCTGGCGGCGGACCTCGATCGGACCCGCAGCGGCCAGGGCCACCCGGGCGAGGTGCTCGAGAAGGCCGCCGAGGGTCTCATGAGCTGCTTCAGGGTCTGCGCCGGCGACACGTGAGTACCGCGCACCGTACCGCCCGCCGTGGAGACCGCCTGCATGCTTCGGCGCGTGTTAGATAGACGTAAATGTTTCTGGGAAACCCTGTAGCGTCACTTACTAGCGTGCTTCCGGTCTCGTTCAACAACCGTTGTTGATGGCTCATGAATGTCATGCTGTGACTGGTCACGGGTTGCGGATTTCTCTGTGGTGCTGCGCCGTTCACGCGGTGCTCCAGCCGCCGTTCACACGATGTTCCAGCCGCCGTTCGCGCGGTGTTCCAGCCGCCGTTCACGCGGTGCTCCAGCCGCCGTTCACACGGTGCTCCAGCCGCCGTTCACACGATGTTCCAGCGGCCGTTCGCGCGGTGTTCCAGCCGCCGTTCACGCGGTGCTCCAGCCGCCGTTCACACGATGCTCCAGCCGCCGTTCGCGCGGTGTTCCAGCCGCCGTTCACGCGGTGCTCCAGCCGCCGTTCACACGATGCTCCAGCCGCCGTTCATGCGGTGCTCCAGTCGCCGTTCACGCAGCCGCTGTCCGGCAGCCGAGCTGAGATGGACGACACAAAGCGCTGGGGCATGCTGAACCTGGTCAACCAGCTATTTAAGATCTACTTCCGCGTCAACAAGCTGCACCTGTGCAAACCGCTGATCCGCGCCATCGAGTCGCTTTCGTTCCGCGGCGACTTCTCACTCAGCCAGCTGGTCACCTACCGCTACTACACAGGCCGCAAGGCCATGTTCGACTGTGACTACAAGGCCGGTGAGCGACCTGGCTGCGGCGGCCGGGTCGGCGACCCCGGCCCTCGTACGATCTTTTCTGTCCCCGTCCGGTGGCCGCCGGACGAGGATGGAGGTCTTCGCCGGGACCGGGGCGTCAACAGTTCGACTGCTTGGAAAGAAACTGGTCCCATTTGCTCGGCCCATCTGTCCCGTTTGGTCGTTGCTTGACTGCACACAAAGAATGCTCGCCTTTCAACTGCTCCCCATGGAGGACTCGCCTAGCGTTGGTTCATCTTATGCGGGTGTCCGTTTGGCTGGTGACCATTTAGCGTGACTGACCTGCTATATCTGACTGTGATGCGGGCGGTTTTCAGCGGAGGAGGCGCTGGACTTCGCCTTCCTGCGCTGCCACAGGGCCTGCCGAAACAACAAGCGTCTCATCCTCATCTACCTGATCCCCGTGAAAATGCTGCTGGTGAGTGTTCGCTCTTTCTTCCCAGCGCCGAACGCGTAACAAGATGTAACTACCTCCGGGCGGCACGGGAACGTTTCTGTTCGAAGCTTTGTATTCAGTCCATTTTCACCACTAATGCTTTTTGCGTATGCATCGGATTATCCCCATATTATCGGGAACAAATCGCTCATTTCGACATAAAACCATGGAACCCGAATGCCATGTGGAAACGTGCACGGCGGAGAGGAGCTGGACCTTCATCCCCTGTTTCTTTTTTTAATTTAAGACTGGCTATGTGGAGTCCGCAGTGCGCTCCGTTGCCAAAGTATTGTGGCTGTGATGGGCACCGCGTGAGTTTTCCGGGCCTCGTTGCTGTTCGCTCTGCGCAGCGTACATTGCGTGCGTATTACAGTTGTGGCGGGCACTGCGTGAGTTCTCCGGACCTCGCTGCTGCTCGCCCCGCGCAGTGTGCGTTGCGTGCGTATTACAGTTGTGATGGGCACCGCGTGAGCTCTCCGGACCTCGCCGATGCTCGCTCCGCGCAGCGTACATTAAGTGCGAGCGCTGGCCGCTGCCGAGCTGGGCCGCTGTGAGCTCGTCCAGCGGGAGAGACCGGACCAGAGACGGCTGAGCGTCGCGCGTTGCAGGGCCACATGCCGCAGGAGCAGCTGCTGGCCAAGTACAACCTGCTGCAGTTCAGCGAAGTGGTGCGGGCCGTCAAGGAGGGTAACCCGCGACGTCTCTCCGACGCCATGGCCGCCCACCAGGCCTTCTTCATCAAGTGCGGCATCTACCTGATTCTGGAGAAGCTGCGCACCATCACCTACCGCAACCTCTTCAAGAAAGTGTCAGTTACCAGGCGGCCACGCCCGCAGGTCACGGTGGATTGAAGTGTTTTCCTTATGTTGGGGTGGCTGAGCCTCATCTCAGCAGCGTCACCTGATGCCTGCAGAAGTGAGGCTCACGGTTGGGTACAGAGCACCATGCGTTGCGTTTGCTACAGTTTTTTTCGGCCAGGTTTGATACCAGGGCTGTGTCCAAATTACTGCCCTGATACGCGCCTAACTGCTGGACATTCTTTATTTGAGACCCATGTGGTCATTCCATGGGGCAGGTACTACCTAGCTGACGTTTTACAACCCTCCACCAGCGCTGTGCTCCTTTGATTCCATTGTGCATTGCCCTCTGTCGCCTGTCAACCTGACTTGCTCCGATGGCCAAGCCGCTCTTGGTCCCCTGTCGCTGGCCGCATGTTTCGCGGACCGTGCTTGTGGTACCCGACCGCCCCCCCCCCCCCTCCCACGTCTCCAGTTATCTGCTGGTGGCGTCCGTATGTATTTTCCTGGCCACGTTCCCGACAGCTGACCTCGCCCCTCCCCCCCCCCCCCGTCTTCTGCCACCTGCTGACGGCTTCGGCTTGTGTTTCCTTGACTGTGTTTCCGACAGGTGACCTCAGTCCCCGCCTCCAGGTACCTGCTGACGGCGTCAGCCTGTGTTTCCCTGACTGTGTTTCCGACGGGTGACCTCAGTCCCCGCCTCCAGGTACCTGCTGACGGCGTCAGCCTGTGTTTCCTTGACTGTGTTTCCGACAGGTGACCTCAGTCCCCGCCTCCAGGTACCTGCTGACGGCGTCAGCCTGTGTTTCCCTGACTGTGTTTCCGACGGGTGGCCTCCGTCCCCGCCTCCAGGTACCTGCTGACGGCGTCGGTGCAGATCGACATCGCGCGCTTCCAGGCGGCGCTGCTGGCCACTGGCGCCGACCAGGACATCGACGCCGACGAGACCTCCTGCATCCTGGCCAACCTCATCTACGAGGGTCGCATGAAGGGCTACATCTCGCACTCGCACCAAAAGCTGGTGCTCAGCAAGAAAGAGCCGTTCCCTGCGCTCAGCGCCGGCGTCACTGTGTCGTGACCGTGAGCGTGAGGCAGGCGTGAGGTCAGGCATCGCCACCGGCCCGGGTGTGACCGGCGTCAGTGTGTCGTGACCGTGAGCGTGGGGCAGGCGTGAGGTCGGGCATCGCCACCGGCCCGGGTTTGACCGGGGCCACTGTGTCGTGACCGTGAGCGCGGGGTTGGCGTGAGGTCGGGCATCGCCCCCGGCCCGGCTTTGACCGGTGTCGGGGCTGAGCTGCGCGCTGTCGCCGCGAGGGACGCTTCGCCTGCGAGCTGTTACGGAGGTCGGCCGGACTAATGGCCGTCGTGGAGCCGCGCTGACAGCCGCGCACGCAGGGTCAGCTGGCAAGCTGACGCTTTCATGCGACTCCTGAGCGCCGCTGGGTCAGTGGGTATGTCCCCCGAGCGCCGCTGGGTCAGTGGGTATGTCCTCTGAGAGCCGCTGGGTCAGCGGGTATGTGCTCGTGCTGTGCGGTCGATGCGGTCATGCCATTCCTGTCGGTCGTCGGGCGTGCTTCGCTCTCATCTCATATGAATGCCCGTGGGATTTGAAATGTCTGTCCGTGTGTTCACTGCCCTCGCCGATCGCACAATAGATGCAACGCTCTTGATTCTGAGTCTGTCTCGGGCCTCAGCCCATCTCAGCCCTCAGCCCAGGAACACTGTTAAACGGACTGCAGATGTGGCCACTCGACATCCGAAATTGTGTCGGGTGATTGATACACGTCATTTTTGTACACTCCATCCCAGACCGAAGCCTATACAGACTCCGTCTCAAAGCATTGACGAACGCATCGACGAAGACAGGTCCGCTCAGACGGAGTGGGCCTGGTGCTTTACACTGCCCCACGGGAGCTGCCAATGACAGAGGCTGGGGCTGGCTGGTCCTTCATCAAACTCATCTGCCCTCAGCAACTACGTGTTCGGGTCTTCTGGAGAATGACTTGCTCATCAGCGAGCAGTTTTCGAGGCATATAAATCCCAAGCCGGCCAATTGAATGCGTGCAAATGACGTTATGACCGGCAGTACTGTTCCATTATGTTCCTGGATGATCCATAAACCACCAGTCAGACGTGGAAGGCTTTTAACGGCCGGTGATGACTGATAAGGGACGCAGCCATCCTTCTGTGAACTCGATTCATTCGCGGCCAGCGTTGGCCACACGCGTGCCTGGGCCTGGCGCGGCAGCCTCACTCCACTGGGGTAATACTTCGTGCGACATCTAACCGGCACGGACAAGGGATCTGCTCGCGGCTCGCGCGCGCACGGGTGACCGGCGTGGGCGGGGGGTACGGTACGCGGAACGGCCGGCAGCAACGCACTGGACTGCCCCTCCCCCCGCTCCTCCCCGAGCGGACTGACGGGTGCAGGCGAGAGACCGCGGGCCGGCGACACTGTATTCCGCCGGGCGAGACGAGTGAGCTTCAGCCTCCGTCCGCTGGTGGCGGCGACTGTTCCGGCGAACCGGAACCCGAAGTTGAAGCGTTCAAAATGCGGACTACACTGGTAAATACTGTTGCGTTTAGCTAACTGCACTTCACCCCTTGTGCCATGCGTCGAACCTGCTTTATGCTACGGCCGGAAGTCCGCTACGATGTGACGGAGAGCTGGAAGATCGCTACGGCGTGGCGAAAATATAAAGTGGGGAGCGCTGTTCCAAGTCGAGACGCCCAATGGAAACTGACCGCATGCGTACTTTATAAACGAGCTGAAAGCCGAGTGCGCATCCGAGTGACAAATGCTTTTGTGTTTGACAACAGTGAGCTCACAGTTCTGGGCTCAACATGCGGTCAATTTCCATTCCAGTCCTTTAAAGGCGAACATCACTCGCACATGTCGCAAAGGGCCAACAAATACAGCCGACTGGCAGTGTGCCCCCGCTGCTGCACCGGTCCGCCTCGCCTTCCCACCGGGGATGCCGGTCAGCGCGTCACACGCCTCTCGCGCGCATGGGTATCACAATACACGATCACACACGCACGTCCGAGTCCGACAGTAAGCGCGCGTCACCACAACACGGCCACGGCTGCGGACACCGCTGGAAAACAACCCGCCCGGGTCCAAGGCCGAGACTCAGGAATCACAATACGCTCTCGCCGCTCCCACCTCTCCGTTCCGGCACCGCACGGCGCGCGCCGCTCGCTCGCTCTGGGCCTGCGGGGCGCGGGCCCGGGTCGCTCCACCCAGCCACTCGCGATCGCTGAGAATCGTGTCTGGTGCGGCGCCCGCCGCCTGCGCCCGCTGCAGCCGAGGTAGGATTCCCGACTCCGCTGCCGGCGACAGTCCGCCGCGATCAGCGCCGCCGCCAGTTCGCCGCGACCGGCGCCGGCCGCGCCGCGCGCTCACTTGGCCTCCTCGTCGGCCTCGCTGGGCGCGCTGAGGTTGGAAGCGACCGAGTTGCGGCTGGCGGCGGGCCGCATCTCGAGGCCGCCGCTCTCCACCGAGCTGACCGACGGAGAGCCGCACGAGTTCCGCTTGCTCAGCCGCTCCAGGTAGGTGGCTGGCGCCCAGCCCTCGGCCGCCGCCTCTGCTGGACAAGGGGCGGGGAGGGGAACGTGAGGGGGCCTGCTGGGGAGCGAGGGGGCAAACAGGGATAAGTTTCTCCCGCCGCCAAAGCATTTGAGTTACAGGCAATGCGATCGTTGAGTCGTAGAGCCACTATTTGTTTTCGTAGACACATCCGTAGTCGACAGCTGGGGCCACCACTGACCTGGCGTGCGGACGTACCACCAGCCAGCGCAGCCGACCTTCAGCAGCTGGACGATGTCGCCCTCCCTGAGCGATACCTCGGACAGTCCGACGGCCTGGTAGTCGGCCAGCACCATGAACCGACTGTATCGGTTGTACTGCGAACAGAGTGCATGATTAGCCATCTGCCCATCCCCAGTCTGCTGGCTCTGTTATTTGCTAATGCCATCGGCGACGCGGAGCGCCGCGCCGACGCACAGTGTCATCTGTCGGCATCTGTTTGAATCAGTACCTCGGCGCTGTCGTGGTAAGTGTCGTCATCGCTGCTGTACTCGCTGCTCCAGCCGTCGTCGGGCACGCCGCTCGTCTGCGGCGACCAGTCGACGCTCTGGATGCGGCCCCGAGACGCCATGCGTGCCGCCGCTGGCTCGCTGGAGTTCTCCCAGGAGCTGGTCTGTCGTAGCGGTCTGCGGGGCGGGGTCGCGGCGGGTTACTACGTTCTCACGTGTACGGGCTTCACCGACAATCTTATCACACATGTTGATAACTGCACTTATTTGATAGCAGGCACAACACTCTGAAGGCTTGCGGTTTGGGGCGTTAGAATGTTGCAGTTATCAAGACAATTCTGTGAGTACGTGTTCCCCATGTGTTTATGCTTACCAGCATGTGTTTCAGCAGGGAGAACTTGTGTGCGGGGTAGACATAACTTACTTGTGCGCGGTTGGCGACATGACTGTGCTGTTGTTGCTTAAGCTGCTTCCCTTTTGGATCCTGTACTGCTTCATGTTTTCTCCCTTTAGATATTCGAGCTGTTCCATAAGCACCCGCTTTATCTGACGAACCTACGGACAAAAGCATTACTGAAATGCAAACGACGTTCATCGTTGACCGACTCCTCTTTAGCACGGCGATGACTCACCATGTCCCCGGCTGGCTCACAGACTCACCAGCCATCAGACCGGATAAGGCGCACCGCAAACAACCTTCATCAGACCGGATGGCCCAGGAACAAACAGATCTCGCCGACACGACAGCCTGCCGCCGCGGCCGCCGCGCCGCAGGCAGAGAGGCAGATCTGCTCTCATCGATCACATTGAAGGCACCACGAGCACACGAAATCCTAACGCCATCCGCCCTATCACATGACCACAGCTGCCTGCCCCGACCGTGCAACGGTCAGAAGACGCGGTGGGACGGGCGCGTGGGGTGGGGTGAGTGGGGTGGGGGGGGGGGGGGGGGCGCTCGGGGCAGGCCGGGGCCGGTACACTTACCCAGTTCTCGCGCTCTTCTGCCGAGCCGGCCAGCACAGTGTGCACCTCGGAGCGGCCCGGCAGCCAGAGCTCGAACTTGCGCGGGTCGCCCTTCACCGTCTCCGTCAGACCGACCTGGGACATCTGCGGGCGGGGTCACGGTTCAGGGACGCCTCATCCGAGACGTAAAGGGAGAGCATGGTCAGTAACGCTACTCAGCCGATCCCACACCGCATCAGGGTTTTATGGGGTTCTGGGTTCAGGTCATCGGGGCTTCATACCTTCAGGTCAGGGCGCCGCATCGCTGGTTTTACGGTTCAGACGGTCGCTCGCAGCAATGACAATCAGCCGATCATGCGTACAGGCGGACGCAGCGCCAATGCAACTGAGGGGGAGTTTGTTGGCATGGAGCTATGAGCGCAACTTCAAATATGTGTTCACGCTTCACACAGAGATGGTAAAGCGTCAACATGTTTGTGTAGCAAACAGTGATCACGTCGACCGCACACGAGAGGTAATCAGGAAGCGGTCATGCGCTGATATTACACGCGAGGTCTTTGATCTTTGCGTGGCCTTATTGGCACGACTTGCGTACCTTCAGACAATGTTTAAAGCTGTACCGGGGCCTGTCACCGCCCTTCTTCTTGCAGAACAGAACCATTTTTTCGTATAGAAATAGGTGACGCTGTCGGGGCTTCAACCTGCCGGAAACAGAAACAGTGTGCAGCTAAAATATCGCCCCAAGAAAAGCAAGGCCAGGCGGATGTACGCTGGGTCGACTCTCGCAACACTGCACGCTGCTCCCAGCTTAACTGCAAGTCCAGTAGCCGGCAGTTGAGAACTCCCACCTGAGCTCTCGGAGACGGTCCTTCTTATTCTCGATCCAGACGGTGTGCGATGCTTGCAGCAGCAAACGCCCCAGGTCCAGAATATTCCCCTGGAATACCCCGGTCGTCAATCCTCACAACTAAGCCGACGGGTTGCAGCTATGCTCACGCACTAGCCAGACCGTCGCGCAGCTGGGCGACACTGGCTCTGACCTCACGCTTTCATTTCCCGCACGCCTCGGGCATCGTCCACGTCACCGCTCCAGGTTTCGAATGCCCTTTCTGTATCAAACGATCGGAGCGGGTCCGGAGCATTCGCCCGGTCACACCGGCGCGCGTCTGTCAGGGCACCCGCGGTAGCAGGCGCCCGAGGGCAGCCGGACGGCGACGTACGCGTCTGTCACGGTACAGCCAGGGCAGCCCGCGGTACGCAGGCGCGCAGCGGCCAGAGGGCGCCGACGGCGACTAGCTCTCAGGGCACCCGCGGTACAGAGCCGCGCCAGAGGGCAGCCGGACGGCGACGTACGCGCCTCTCCAGGGCACCCGCGGTACAGAGCCGCGCCAGAGGGCAGCCGGACGGCGACGTACGCGCCTGTCCAGGGCACCCACGGTACAGAGCCGCGCCAGAGGGCAGCCGGACGGCGACGTACGCGTCTGTCCAGGGCACCCGCGGTACGCAGCCGCACCAGAGGGCAGCCGGACGGCGACGTACGTGCCTGTCGAGAGGCTGACTGCAGCTGGCTGAGGCTCACCGGAAAGCCGCTGATGGCCACCTGGTGCATGGAGTCATTGACGCACTTGAGCACGTCCAGCATGCAGGCGACGGCCTCGTTCAGTTGCTTGCAGCAATCTGGGTCTTCGCTGCAGTGCAGCAGATCCTGGAAAGGGACAGTGGGGATTCGTTGGTACGTGGACTCGGTGTGTTTCACTAGCTGGAGGTGTTTGGTGAGTACGATGGATTCCCAAATGAAAAAGCGCCTTGTGGTACGTGTTCTACGAAGGGAAATGCTAGTCCCAAGATCGTAACACAAGATATGCGTTCAAATTAGCTGAAATGTGACTAACTCATGTGATGCTTTTACAAAACCCTGGCCAGTTCACTTGTCTGCTACTTTGACTGTCGTTTAATTGTCAAAAATACATTGATCTTAAGGTAAAATTTTGCACCTATGTAACCTCATTTCTATTGAAAACTGTGGGCATATTTGTCGTCCTGAAGCAGAGTGATCATCGTTGAGGTACACACACAGACACACACATGGAAAACTAGACAGGGTATGCACATTCTATCCCCAACTGCATAGGAGTCCACACCGACTGCTCACCTTCAGCAGCAGCTGGTACTTAGTGATCCTCTGCACGGGCTTCAGCAGGAAGGCGCCCAGCGGCAGCTTGTGCTGCAGCCGGCGCTGGCACTCGATGAAGAACGAGTTGGCGTCGCCGATCTGCCGGCGCAGGTCCTCCGACGCCGGCTTGTTCTGGCAGTACTCGCTGTAGAGACAGTGCAGCGCCTCTCGCTGTGGTCGGCGACGGACGCCAGCGTCAGCCATACACGCCACAGCTAGGTTGGGGGTCTCTCCACTTCGTCCGCATACCAGCCTCGCGAAGGGGGGGGGGGGGCTCGACAGTACCCACTCGAGCTTCCAGACGCGTCGTGGCGGAGGCCTACTGACAGGGCCCGCCGGTGTGGGTCGTATATAAAGCACGTGTTCTAATGCGCCGGAGAGGCTGCCCTGTGTCCGAGGCGTGCGAGTGGGAGACCTCAATGAACGGATGCCGCTGTCAACATCGGACCTGTGGATGCCGTCGTCCATATACGTGACGAACTAAGCTGGTCGGTCAGGCCCGCTGTTTCACGTTAGGTGTCCATGTTTCGGTGCCGGTGGTTGGTTTTGACCAGACTACGACAAACGTGTCGGGTTCTGCACCCCCCCCCCCCCCGCATCATGATTAAAATGAGCGCAACGACACAGCACCTCAATGCGCCTATCCCGATCAAGGATGGCGCCATCACCGTGTCTGTAAACAGTACGTCCTCCTGTTCGGGTCAGCTCGCAGAGGCGCTCGGAAGACACCGACTGACCCGGTCGACGAAGCACCGCCCGACTTGCTCGGGCGCGCCGATACACTGCTCCAGGTCACGCAAGAAGACGGAGCTGTGGAAGCGCTGGATGTCGCTCATGTTGCCGAACAGCACGTCCGACTTGCCGTACAGCTGGATGGGGATCAGCTGCTGCAGCTCCGTCTTCAACATCTCGTCCTTGTAGCCCTGTGAGAAGAGGACGGAGTTCAGCGTGCGATGAGGAGGTAAGGACGGTGACGATTTAAGGCACTTGTTACACCCAGAATGCATCAGAACGGGGGCACCGGTACACTAGGACCGCCATGGTATGCAACCTGCTGGTTAGATGAAAGGCTTGCCGGGACCGGGACCCCTCACAAACCTTCCGGACACGTCTCACGTCAGCACACAGCTCCTCTGTCGCCACAGCATCGCCAGGCCCCAGACGAGCGACGCTCAGATTAACGTCTGCCCAGAAATCCACGCACCTTCAATATCTGGTTGAGTTCCGCGACGTATGTCTTCTCGGTGTCGAGCAGCTCGGTGAGAATGTGCTGCCGCCTGGCGGCCAGCTGCTCCGGGTCGCGCGACTCTGCCTCGTCCAGGCCCGCCGGGCACATGTTCTCCTGGCAGAGCAGACCCCGCGGGACGTCAGCCAGGCTGAGGCTATCCGGGCCGGCCTCGCGGGCTGCGCCGTGACGATGGCAGTGGGTTTGGCAGCCTCGCTCACGCCTGGCAGTTTGTATGTCTGCTGCGACGTGGGACACGCTTGCATGCCTGGTGTGACGCGGGACACGTTTGTATGTCCGATGTGGCGTGGGACACGTTTGTATGTCCGATGTGGCGTGGGACACGTTTGTATGTCCGATGTGGCGTGGGACACGTTTGTATGCCCGATGTGGCGTGGGACACGTTTGTATGTCCGTTATGGCGTGGGACACGTTTGTGTGGGACATGGCCGCGTCCCACTGGGCTTGACGCGGCCTACTCGGCGGGAAGGGGAAATGTCTCTCCGCCCCCGCCCATATATATCGCTCCATCCCGACGCATGCATGATGTACCGCATCCGGCGGGCGCGAGTTAATTGATCGGACCCCTATCAATCCCGGGGGCCGTTACCCGAGCGACAGGCCTTCCGGCGCGGGTGTCGTGTGCTGACCTTGGCCGACCTGCGCGAGCGGCGGGCGTCCCTCGGCGACCTCAGCTTGACCTTGTCCAGGGGCACCGCCGGCTCGGGGTTGACGGTTTGCACGGGTCGGCGGGCTGTGTACTTCCTCAGGCTGTTGCAGCGCCGATCACACATGGTGCGCACGTCCTCGATCCGCTGCACCACCTGCAGCCACACGACACGTCAGAGGGCATGGCACGGCAGATGGCGCGGCACCTCAGAGGGTATGACACGGAAAAACGGGACGGCACGGAAGACGGCATGGCACATCACAGGGAACGGCACGCAACGCAGCACGGAACGACATATCAACAGGCACGGTACGTCGTAAGGAAAGATACGGTACGGCACGTCGGTGCGCGTGGTCCTCAGACAGTGCGTCGTCAGATGACACGGCACGTCAGAGGGCACTGAACGTCAGAAGGCACGGCACGTCAGGGGGCACGCTGGCACGGTATGTCAGAGGGCACGTCTGACGGTGCGCCTGACACCCTCGAATGTCAAACGACATGGCTCATCAGTCGGCACGGCACGTCTCACCCGCGGGACGTCTGACAGATCTGCAGCGGGTCCACGGCACGGCACGGATGACACAATAACTCTGATACTGCTGGCTCACGTGCGCAACGCCGACGCACCATGGTCAGTAACGTGACAGCCATTGGGCCCCAGTGCCCGATGGTTTCAGCGGATGCGGACGCCGCACCGAATTCAAGCCTAGAGCTCAGGTCACGATCGCGGCGCGCCACCGACTGAGGCTCGACTACGATACGACACGCCCTGCTCTGACGTCACCGAGGACTCGCGTCCGAACGCTGTATGTCTTTGACTCAGTCGGTCGTAACGGCCAATGTAAGGCTAGGACATATTTTTCGTGTATGCCTTGGGTTATTTTGACTCACGTTTATTGAATTTGAAGAAACGCTTAACTTGTCATCTCTCAGAAATGCGGGCGAGCACGACCATCTCGCCCGTCGGTTTCGTTCTTATCAGCAGACATGGCACAGATAGGCGATAGACGCATTGAGCCTAGGCTGCACTGGCACTAAAGGCAGCTGCTGGGCTTAGGGGTCGAAGCAGTTCTAACCATGGGTTTTATCTGACCGAGCCCATTAGTTTTCAAGACGGAAAGTTCGTTACACTGTGAAAGGTGATGACATATACAGGCACGCTCGCGAACGCGCCTTAACACGCCTGCACGCCGCCCCATATTGACACCCTAGTGCCACCATATGACCCACCTGTTCCCGCATTGTCACCCTAGTGCCATCCCATGATCTACCTGCCGCACGAGCGCCGCCCCACACTGACACCGTAGTGCCACCCCACGACTCACCTGCTGCACGAGCGCCTTGGTCTCCTGCGTGATGACGTCCTGGAAGGCGGAGCGCAGCTCGACGGGCGAGTGCAGGTTGAAGTCGGCCGCCGAGTAGAGGAACTCATCGATCTGGGCCAGCGCCCGCTCGGCCAGCTCCGGCGCCGCCGAACACTTCTCGATCTGCTGCGACGTCAGCAGCTCCACCCCCAGCGCGCACCACGTGTTGGCCTGCGCACAGGTCGGGGCGGAGCGTCAGGGACGTCACGCGGGCGCTTCGGCCGACCCACCCCGCCCGTGAGGGGCAAGCTTGTCGGCTGCGACATTTTTCTCGCGTCAGTTATTTCAGACGCAAGGCGAATCAACCACAAGAGAGACGGTAAGGACTCTCCGAAGCTAGATGTGTTGGCTGGATTGTGAAAGTCGATGCGGGCGAGCAAATTATCTTATCCGCACGTCTGGCTGATCCCGAGTCCACATCTCGCTCTGCAGAAGCGCCGAGCGGCAGCGGGCCCGCCGGCGGGCGGCGGCGCCGGCCCGGGCTGATCGTACCCGCTGGACGCGCTCGTGCAGGTCGCGGCACTTGTGCAAAAGCTGGGTGCGGCGGCGCAGCTTGTCAGAGACGAGCTCTCCGAGCCGGCGCAGCTCGACGCAGCGCGCCTCGATGCCCTCGCTGCCCAGGTCGCCAGCGCTCATCTGCAGGTCCCGGCCGAACGACTGCAGATCGTCCGCCTGCCGCTGCGTCTCCTGGCGAAGGGGACGTCGCGGCGGTCAGCTGGAATCTCGGGCGCTGACGTCACTCACGGCGCTTACGGCATACCCTGCCATATTGCCATCTGGACTAACGTGATTTACATCTCGTGAGCACCCTCCACCTAGTAGCAGCTGGCCCATTATTAACTTAAGTGGCGTTTCATCGTCAACCGTTATCACCAGCCTGGAAAGATCATATAGTAAGTCCGTGGACGTACCAGGCATCGTTTCTGCACGACTGTGTGCTCGTTGATGAGCTGGTCCACGTGAGAGACAGACTCGCCGACATCCGTGGCGTCCGAGAGGCGCTTCAGCAGGTGCTCCAGCTCGGTCTGTAGCAGGACGAGCGTCAGTCTTCCCGCAGCCGGTCAGACCGCTCAGGAGCATCATCTCAGACGAGGTCTAGACGACTGCAGTTTGGACAGGCGATAAAAAGTTGCGATGCATGCAGCGACAGCGGTTCCGACCTTTGACAGGGGTCTCAAAAGATAACAAGGTTCCAGCCTACGGGAGCAGTCCCGACCCACGCATGTACGGATAATCGAACTTCAAATGCATCACGACATTGGCCTACTCAGTACAACCTGTACATTACCGCTACTTCGTGAGCTTCTAAGATCACTCTGGCCCTAAATAACCTTCCGCCCACTCTACACACAGAATCGGAGTACCGACATGCAGGGAAATACCCGAGCTCGGCATCGGTTTACGAGCGGAGTCCGCGTTCGCGAACGCCGCCTGGTTGTCAGGGCGACGCCGCGTGTCCCAGCACCTGGCACTCCTTGAAGCCGTGCTCGAAGCGGCGCAGCTGCAGCCAGCGCAGCAGGCGCTGCTCGTAGCTGCTCCAGTAGTTTTCGAAGCGCCGCACCGTCTCCTCCAGCTGCACCAGCAGTCTGTCAGCCACAGCGGGAGACGTCATGACCCCCCGTCAAGTGCACGGAGGTGGCGTGGCCAGAGGTCGGACAGGACATGACCGCACCCCAGCCGTAAAACAAACATCACAGCCAGTTGCCAGCCAGAGAGCCGGCGCCGTAGCGGTCAGAAACGGCGGGGTCCCAACCCCGAACATAAGCACCAGCCGATTCGGCTGACCTGTTGATTTGCATTGCGTGCGAGCCGATGTAAACCGGTCGATTCGCATTGTTTGCAGGCCTCGTCGCGGGCGCGAACGTCCATAGTCCCGACGTTCAAACACCTCATCTGGCGTCATGAAACCCGAGCAACGGCCACCCCAAACACAAACAGCCGGCGGCTCGCCGATGCCCGCGGGGCTGTCACGTCCGCGGGGTCACGTGCGGCGGGCGCCCCCTCCCAGACAGGGCCGCCGCCGCCGCCCCGCAGCCCACGGGGGCGGCGGTCCAGACGACCTTGGGGCAGGCGATCCGTGCAGCCTAGCCGCTGCCGGCTTCGTCGAAGGTACGGACGACTGCTGTCCGCTCCTTGTTGTTTCATTGGGCTATTTACTTCAATTGATGCCGGGGGATAGGGCAGCGTTTGAACAAGGCGTGACGGTTGGCAAGCTCTTTGTCCGCATACGATAGCCCAAGTCACCCATGTGCCGTTAAAAATCCACTCCACTTTCCATCTTAAGCAGACACCCCTTTATTTCATCATTTGGCATCTATTTGAGGGTAAAGTTTTTACCTGCGGTTTGTTTTATCACTTTCAATTCATGAGGACATCTTTGCACGCCACTTCGGTACCCGGCGTATCAGTGCCTCCCAGTTAATATCAAATGTGTCTGATGCAAGAAAGTTTGTAGATCTACTTCAGGCGAAGGTACGTTAAACAGACAGCTGGTGTTTGCCACTGCAAAGCTTATCAACGTTTAGAAGGACGTCTGCCGGTACCAGGACTGTGAGCCGAAAATGGAAGCAAGATAAAATAATCTACGTATTCCATTGCACGTCATTCTCCGGAAACGGTACGCAGAGCTCACTACAGCGGGTCACCAACCCAATTCCACCCCAAAAAGCAAAGACAAAACACCTGACTTTGCTAGAATGACAGTTCAAGGTGAGCCAACACATTGCATTGCCTGACATGGTTGGCCACCACCGCAATAAGCGCATTTCACACTTCCTCTGCGAAAGCCCTTCGTGCAACATGCTGGACGCAGGATGTCTGACCGAATATGGGTGAGGCCGCCGACCCAGCGAACCCTGTCTCACCTGCGCAACGCTCCGAATTTCAGCGACCAAATGCCACTATCTAGCGCTGAGCATATGCAGCGAACACTGACCGCTCGCTCGTCGCGCTCCTGATCACCTCTCGGGTACCTGTCTACGTGCGCGAGATCTTGGAAACATCCGTATGCCCCGAAGCGGTCAGCCATATCTTACAAAATGGTCGACAGATGTCTTAACTTGTTCCCCAGGCGTTGTCACTTATCGGGCCCCGAGAAAAAAAAGAGACCCCCACAGTCCCTGCAGCGACCTCGATACTCCGCAAGACAACCATGAGAAGACCAGGCGGCTATCAAGACGAACGCTGGACACAACAGCAGTAGCACCAGCTCCACCAGCACCAGTACCAGTTCCACAGCGGCTGACGTCACCGGCGAACCGGCCAGGCCCCCTGTACCGGCAGCCCACCTTTGCACGGCTGTGACGTTGATGAGCTTGTCGGGACAGTAGTCGACATTTGTCGACGAGCGCACCGCCGACTGGCGCATGTCGGCCAGCAACGCCTCGCCCGCCTCCGATGACGTCATCAGATCACACTTGAGCTCGGCGTATGCCTGGCCCTGCCGGCGGCGGTCGCATGCGCGGGTGAAACGATGAAAAGTTGCCTACAGGGTTTTGTGCGTGGATTGTGGGATGGAATTACGAAACGGTCGGTCACGGATCGGCGTTTGGTGGGATGGGACCGGACGGGTCACGGATCAGCGTTTGGTGGGATGGGACCAGACCGGTCACAGGTCGGCGTTTGGTGGGATGAAGCCGGACCGGTCGCGGAACGTTTGGTGGGATAAGACTGGACCGGTCGCGGACCAACATTTGGTGGGATGAAGCCGGACCGGTCGCGGATCAGCGTTTGGTGGGATGGGATTGCAGACCGGTGGGTCGTGGATCAGCGTTTGCGGAGATCGTCCCGTCAGGGTGGCCGAGACCGTGGCATAGACACCATACCGCCCACGATGTGGGCAATGCCCTGCCCGTGGGTATTTGGCGCTGGAAACACATTCCTGTCACCACTGCCACTGTCAAGCTCCACGATGTTGTCATTAGCCCCCAGGCTCACGTGCTAGCCGCACAACCTTCTGAGGGATAAAAAGTTTTTTCAACTGGCACCAACTGGCACCAATTGGCACCCTTCACTTTCGTATAATGGGCTCTGACAGCTTATGAAGGGGCCGAGTGAAAACATCCAATCATTTCATTAAATAATTTCCTAGTCATGTACATTTTGGACTTCAAGGCAGCAGCATACACTGCTTACCTGGCTCTTGAGCATGTTTTCTGTGGTGCCGACATCATGAGGGAACTCTGTCTGCTGCAGCCGCAACAGGAACTGCTCCAGCGCCGTGGAGATCTCCTGGGAGCGCAGTGAAAACTTCTCCAGGTCCTGAAACGGGCCGATACCTGAGTCGGGTCGGCAGAGTCGGGCAGCGACGGACGCGGACTGGTCAACGGCAGGTCAGTCTGACGCTGATCCACCACACACTGATCCGCCGCTGGCTGATCCGCCACACACTGATCCGGTACACACTGATCCGTCACGCACTGATCCGCCACACACTGGTTCGTCACACATTGATCCGCCATACGCTGATCCGCCACACACTGATCCGCCATACACTGGCTCGCCACGTACTGATCCGCCACACACTGGTCCACCGCTGGCTGATCCGCCACACACTGATCCGCCACTGGCTGATCCGTCACGCACTGATCCGCCACACACTGATCCGTCTCTGGCTGATCCGCCACACACTGATCCGCTGCTGGCTGATCCGTCACGCACTGATCCGCCACACACTGATCCGTCGCTGGCTGATCCGCCACACACTGATCCGCCACGCACTGATCCGCTGCTGGCTGATCCGCCGATCTGGCTGATCTGGCTGGCCGCCCCATACAGATTCACCACCATTGGTGGCAGGTTTTGGTACGCGCGCTTTAGAGAGAACTCTCTCGATGGCCCCAAATATGTTCCGCGCAGAAACAGGAGCGCAGCCCACACGAGGTGCCGCGCTGCGATGGGCGCCATCTCTGCCTGTCACCTCTCGCCGCAATAGGACCCCGGCATAGGAGATCGTCTGGACCGTTGGAGTAAGATCGCCCGTCACCGCAGCTCAGTTGGTTAGAGTGCCTTTATTCAGATTCACCCAATCGTGGCAGGAGGTTGGAGTCGCTTTAAGCGTCAGCTATTTGCCGCCGACTGCAATAGCCTGTGGCCGTTGGCAGCGGCCGCGCTAAAGGTCAGGTGACGTCAAAGGGCAGGATGGTTCACGTGGAGTATTGTGGCACGTTAAACATTCGCCACAAAGTTCTGCAATTGACCCGGAATACGACGACCGTATGGTGCGGTCGGAGGTCACGTAATAAGCGCTGCTTGGCGTGGACTCTGATCCCAGAAATCTGCACAATCAGAAGGCTCAAACTATAGTAATAACAATAACAATCAATCAATATCACAACGATCAATCAGTCAAACTGATAACAATCAGTCAATATCCTCTCTGACGGTTGACATGCGTGCAAAAGTGCAATGCTTCGCACCCTTCAAGCACATAATCCCACGACACGTATCGGCCGCACCGTGGCGACTGGACACGCGGCCAAAACTGGACAGGGGTACCCGTCGGTGCCGCTCTGCACGAGCGCGGTCGCGGTCGTGGAGCCGGGTCCGGACGCGTGCCACCTACCAGCCGCTGCTGGATCCACTGCTCGTGATCGTACGGGATGGTGCCGCCCAGGCCGGGTCCGGACGCGTGCCACCTACCAGCCGCTGCTGGATCCACTGCTCGTGATCGTACGGGACGGTGCCGCCCAGATCCTCGGTGAGCTGGTCAGGCGACACGTGGGCGTGCAGCTCATCCAGCGAGCTGCAGATGACCACCTACAGCGGCGGGGACACGAAAGGTCAAGCGGGCACGCCATGAACAGGCGCAGTGATACGGAACGCCGGCTGAGGCTGCACGCGGCCGTCTGAATTGTCACAGCCTGGACGTCACGTACGCAGTCCAGAAGTTCACAGTCTGGAAATATGGCCGGTTGACTGGATGCACATGGTTCGACTGATCACAGTCTGGAGACACTTAGTTAGATGGGCGACAGCATGTAGGTGCGTGGCTCATGCCACGCACCTACACGGCCGTCGACAGCGCGGCCACACATAGTCTGTATGTCTGTCAATGTCCGCAGTCTGAGCCCGTGCGGCCAGGAAGTGCACAGACAGGACGCCGCCGGCAGCGCGGTAGCCAGTCTGGACACGACTCCGGCCAGACGCTGCACAGCTCAGGTATGCGACGGCACGTCTCGGCATCAGAAGCACGCAAGGTCAGCCGGCCTACTGGCACACACCCGACGCTGCCTTCACCACGGCTGCGTTATTGATTTATGGCCCGGCTGGCGACAAACGGCCACCACTTCACGAGCTGAGCCCGACCGTCATCGCCCACTCCCAGCGGGCTAAACAGTCGGCAGCCTCGGGCCGCGGCCCAGCTGGCGCGGCGGCTGCACAGCTGGAGCTGCCGACGGCGGCCGGCAGGGGGCGCGCCCAGCGGGCTCAACAGTCGGCAGCCTCGGGCCGCGGCCCAGCTGGCGCGGCGGCTACACAGCTGCAGCTGCCGACGCCGACCGGCAGGGGGCGTCGCCGCGTCGGGCGTCAGCTGGCAGGCGTCGGACCGTAATCGGCTTAACGGTGCTTTGCATACTGAGCAGGATGGAGGGGTTCGGTATTTTGCCGCGCTTTTTCTCTTTTCTCGTTAAGTTTTATAAAGATAACAGGAAACACAGTTTAAAGACCTGCAACAGCTGAGCGGTCGGTTATCAGTTAAACATGCTGCAAAGTCCAATGTGGCCTTGCTGAGAACATTCTTGGAGAGTTTAAGCCGTGATGCTCCTGCCAACACTTGTCTGGTCACAATCATCTAATTGTTGCAGCTATTGCGACAACCACATGATCGCCGTAACAGATGATGTCTCTTGCTGCAACGATTGCGATGCTGCAGCGCTCGTTCTCGGGCCGAGACCCTCGCGTCAGCCTGCGGTCGCCGTCAAGAGCCATGTTCTCACGTCAGCCTACGGTGGCCGTCAAGAGCCATGTTCCCACGTCAGCCTACGGTGGCCGTCGAGAGCCATGTTCCCACGTCAGCCTACGGTGGCCGTCGAGAGCCACGTTCCGCGTCAGCTCCGACACGCGAGGCTTTCCGGTGCCCCCCCCCCCGCCCCCCCCCCCCCCCACCTCGGAATACCCTCTGGCGTCGCTCGGGGTCTCTCGTGGCCGTTGGCACGCTGCTGACCGACCGACCTTGAACTTGAAGTCGTCCCGGCTGAACTTGTAGCTGAGGTCGGACCAGGTCCTCTGCAGGAAGCTGGACGGCCGCAGGACGTAGCAGGCGGTGATGAGGCCCGGGAAGAAGGCCTGCAATCGGCCGCGGCGTTGCACGGGTGAATGATTCGACAGTGGGCCAAACCGCGGACGGCGGGGGGGGGGGGGAGCAGGCTCGGCAAGACGGGCTGCTTAGGCCCTGAGTATGTGAGGGATACCACAAGTCACGCGTTGGTACAAACATCACTCATGTCTGTGCTCACATCGAGTGTTTGGGGATCGCGGGTGTTGGGGGTCTAGAATACGAACCTATTACAGCCCACCCACCCTCCCCCTCAAAGACATCAGACTTATACAGTAGGCTCGATATTTCAGACTCCGAGAAGGCTCTGGACTCGCCGATCCCTGCGAACTCGGGAGAAAGATCTCTGTAACGATACGAATCACAGGTTCTTGCCGCGCGATGCGTGGATGCTTGATTTAGTCAGCCAGAATCCGATTTAGTGTCACCCGGTAACAACGAGAAATGAGGATCCCTAATGCTTTTTATCTTCGTCACTTTCCAATCAGAGAACACTGATCCAATGATGCTTCGGCTCATTATGTTTATCGTCAGGATCGATTCGATAAATCAATGGCGAATCCAGCCACCTCGAAGCACAATTCTTGATCACAAAAAGCTGACCAAACCAACGCGCCGCACACCCGACCCCTGGGAACACCGACACAGCAGTGCCGAGTGACCAGCAGTGTCGCAGGATAATGCAGGGGTACACAGGCAGTGCCGGGGAGAGGGGCAGTGGGGGGGGGGGGGGACACGGCGGTGCCGGCGGGGGCACTGTGACGTCACTCACGGCGATATGCAGCAGGGCGGCCTTGACCGAGCTCCAGCGGTCCTGGCGGCGGTCGATGACAAGGATGAAGCCCTGGTCGGCCTCTTCCAGCACGGGCACCGACGTCAGGTAGATGACCAGCTGGCGGTACTCGTCGTCTGACACCCAGCACGGCTCCGGCGCCACGGCCGGGTCGGGCAGCGTCAGGATTGGGCAGCCCAAGCAGCGGCCGCCTGCCGACGGCAGAGGTCGTCAGGGGGAGGGGGTCAGTGTCTTCCAGGAGCGGCGCTGCGACAAGGCTTCGGGGCAGCGCCCGGTCCGGTGCTACGGAGGCCGTCAACATCAAAAATATTTTTCTTTGCATGGTAGATGACATGTCTTTAAGGTGAGTTGGTTAACTTCAAATTTCAAACAGTAGCAGTTGTTAACTGCTCTGTTCGAAGCATCGTTCACCTCAGTAGGTTGAGGGATTAATTTCAAATACTGCGTCGCAACCATCCCACTAAGTCCTTGTAGCAATCAGACGTGACATTTGTGATACGTTTTCTGTGGTATTGTACTTATGCGGGTTATTGAATTCGCGTCGTACGCATTGCAGAAGAGGCCACTGTGCTGCCGCTCATAGAAGGGCCTCCCCTGATGGCGCGAGCCCGCCGCGTCGGGCTCGTTGCTGCGGCGACTGGGGGCCGCCTCTCCTGCCGGCCAAGGAAGGGCCTCCCCTGACGGTGCGGGCTCGCCGCGTTGGGCTAGGTGCCGCAGTGGCCGAGGCCGCCTCTCCTGCCGGCCAAGGAAGGGCCTCCCCTGACGGCGCGGGCTCGCCGCGTCAGGCTCGGTGCCGCAGTGGCTGGGGCCACCTCTCCCGCTAGCCCTCCGTCTACCGGCTTCCTACTGAACGCCCCTGCGGCCGTACGGCTGCACTGCTGATGAGCCTAGCTGGAAACGCGCCTCCACAGAGGTACCGACAGCCCGTGAGCACAGCCCAACGTGCATCCGCCTGCCGCTTCCTACGCGACGTACCGAGACCCGCGCCACACATACTGCGGTGTGGAGTGATCAGCATTTCGTGACGTCACGCAGTGCGGTTTGAAGCGGGCATCCGATCGCTTACTATCACATCGCCGCGGCTGCTGACCGCGGTTCACATCCACCGCACCACCGGCATCAGAGGAGGCCGGCCCATTATTCATGCACGTCTCGTCGTGTTCACGTACTGCGTGATCGCTCTTCTGAGTCCGCCGCCACCTCCCCTCCGCCCCCCCCCCCCCCCCACGGCCGCCCACCCGCTGCAACACAGATGCAGTTAACAAAACATCACAGGAATTCACTTTCTCCGGCGACTTTCCAGGCGTGTCTGCAGCTACCAACATCGCCGGGCCGTGTACGGTACAAGCTGTTTACGACTGGCCAGGGCTCCGCCAGTGGCTTGCCTCTCATCTCGTGACTCGCCACGGCAGCCGGGGTCTATTTGTGTTCTGCTCCAGCCCGACGTCGCTCGATGCACGTTATTGCTCCGCACAGTTGTAGACAGACGCCCACCAGGCTTCTAGGGACGCAGGCGCGCAAGTCGCCAGGCGATGACTGCTCAGAAACCTGGGCGTGTTTACCTGTAGCAACCCTCTCTGATCCCGCTCGTTTTTGTTGCTGTTAATCACCGGCATGCAGTTAAAAGCAACAGCGTCCGCCACGAAAAAGGGTGAGCTTTTCACCTACGGGGCTTTCGTTCAGCCATTTCAGAGTTTTTGTGCTCGGAGCCGCTGGTCACCCCGCTAAACGTGAGCGCATGACTGGCAGGGTGGCGCTGCTCGTCTCGTCCGGCAGCAGTTTTCCCCGTGAGCACGCCAGTCCCGTGGCGCACTTGGCAGCGTCCGCGCCCTTTCACGCCGCGCTTGCGCCGTGAATACCTGTGAGTCCAAGTAGCTCTGCCATGCACGGCGATCCGCCCCCCCCCCCCCCCCCCCCCCCCAGCGCGCACAGCCGCCCGCCATCGCGGGATATTGGATGGTGGTGCGCGTGGCCAGACTTGTTAAACAGACGTGGGCTGGGCATCCGTCTCTGCCTCTCCTCAGCGATTCCCGGTGATCTGTCACGCCCTCTGACCATTCTTCGCCACCGTCCATATGAAACTGCACGCTTCACATGGGCTCTCGGCTGCCTGCACTCCTCTCAAAGGCAACTCATATGTAAAGAAAGGTGTAAAGCAACTTTAAAGCAGACGTTTGCAGATAGTTCGGGGTTCAGGGACCGCATGTGTTCCAGAAGAAACAGTCGGTATCAGTGACGACACGTAGCTGTTGGCAACATTGTCTGTGACGGTGTGTCGAGGTGTTGTAGAAGTGCGTGTTTGCGTTACGGAAAGTCCAGACCTGTGCCAATCACGCTTCCTTGAGTAACACGGGCTAATGGCTTGCAAGTGATCCATTTGTGCAGAGTATCTCTGTTGGCACCTGGCAGCTATAGTTCATATCTGTCACCCGTCTATGTCTTCCGGGCGGCATTACCCCGCGGCACCATTTACAACTAGCCCGTGTCTACAGCTGCCAGCAGTCACCAGTCCTGCGCACATCAGGCCAGCCCGAAATTGCAACCGCATCAGTCCGTGTCTGCAGCCATCACCATCCCGTGATGAACGAGTGACATACCAGTGACGTCAATTCGGGCACCTGGCGGATCGGCGCCGTCCTGTATTTTCGATTCCTTCGACCCCGGAAGCCGTGAGCTGCCGGCGATCCCGGAGACGCTCTGCGCCAATCTAGCGCGCCCGACACGCATTCATCCATTTAAAATAGCAGCCCGGCCGGTGTCCTTCCATTAGCGTGAGGAGGGAGCGGAAGGAGAGGAATGGGCGGCGCCGGTGGCGGGCCGGCGGCGGGACGGAGCGGCGCGGAGGCGGTCCCGGTGGCCGCTCCGGGCGGTCACGTGCGGTGTGTCGCCGCGGCTGTCGCGCTCGTGATCACATCGCCGGCTCCGACGAGGGGGCTGACCGGCGCCACTGGTCTCCACGGGGCGATCACAGGCCACCGCTCCGCGAGCGTAGATCACCGTCCGACTGCGCCCGCGGGTCAGCACTGGCGAGGTGCCGTACGTGCCGCCTCCGCGAGTACTGGACGAGCGGATCGCTGGCGGGGTCCAGCGGGTCCTTCACTCTCCGTGTCAGTCATCTGGGGAGCCACGACCCCGCGATAACGCGAGGTCCAGCGGGTCCTTCACTCTCCGTGTCAGTCATCTGGGGAGCCACGACCCCGCGCTAACGCGGGGCCCAGCGGGTCCTTCACTCTCCGTGTCAGTCATCTGGGGAGCCCACGGCCCCCGCGCTAACGCGGGGTCCAGCGGGTCCTTCACTCTCCGCGTCAGTCATCTGGGGAGCGACGGCCCCGCGCTAACGCGGGGTCCAGCGGGCCCTTCACTCTCCGTGTCAGTCATCTGGGGAGCCACGGCCCCGCGCTAACGCGGGGTCCAGCGGGCCCTTCACTCTCCGTGTCAGTCATCTGGGGAGCGACGGCCCCGCGCTAACGCGGGGTCCAGCGGGCCCTTCACTCTCCGCGTCAGTCATCTGGGCAGCCACGGCCCCGCGCTAACGCGGGGTCCAGCGGGCCCTTCACTCTCCGTGTCAGTCATCTGGGGAGCGACGGCCCCGCGCTAACGCGGGGTCCAGCGGGCCCTTCACTCTCCGTGTCAGTCATCTGGGGAGCGACGGCCCCGCGCCAACGCGGGGTCCAGCGGGCCCTTCACTCTCCGTGTCAGTCATCTGGGCAGCCACGGCCCCGCGCTAACGTCGCCAGCGCGCCACATCATCACGTCACACCGCCACACCGCACCGGCACACCACCGCACCACTCCAGGCATGCCAGCACTTCTCTCAGTCCGTTTCAGTCTTAATGTTGGTCGCGACCGCTTTGTACCGCACAGGGACACATCAAGGCCCTCTGTGAGCCCGTTCCGTTCTGGAATAACACGAGCTCTTTGGTGCGCAGCCCACATCAGAGGCTGCCCTAACCACTTCCCATCCACGATGCACCCTTCCTCCAGCTGCGCGGGCCCGCTCGCTGACTCACATCCCGGTCAGTCCCACACAAAGTCGGGGGTGTCTGACCGACCCAGCGCGGGTGTCACGTGCGGCGGGCAGCCGGCACTAGCGCCACGGATAACGAGACAATTCCGGCCGGCGCGGCGCCGGCGCGGCGCTGGCGCGGCCGACCGCGAGAACGTGACGCCGGGGCCGCCGGGGGTGACGGCAGCGAGTGGGGGTGGGACTCGGCTGACGGTAGCTCCCGGTCTCGGCTGGGTTCGTATGAGCGTCTGGCCACAAAGCCAGTGGCCGGCGCTAATGGCCGGCGGTTGGTGTACAGGCAGTTCCCTGCACTTACTGTGCTGGCGGCTGACCTGCGGAATGGCAGGTCAGCTTCATGACGTCAGCTGGGACCGATGCACTGCGCTTGACGCGAGCAAGTGATTGTATTCCGCCAACCAGATTTAACGTTTGAAATACATGTTCAAGTAATGTGCTTATTACATTTCCCTCTAGCTCACGAACGACGCTGGATGTTGCCCCTGCTCCGCCACAGATGCGCCACAGCACTCGGCACCGGGCGAAAGCGACTGCTCAGTCTCAGGGCTTTACGCTGTGACTGCTCAGTCTCAGGGCTTTACGCTGGAGATTGCAGAACCGATCGCCGCCGTCTGTCGAGTTGGCTCGCGCGATGGGAGGCATGGAGTCACGTCTGTGTTTGAAATGGCTTCCTTCTCAGCCGCGGACGGGGCTGTCCCGCACGTCGCGTCGGCGCCGCGATTGCATTAGCATGTGAGGAATTCGTTCTGACAGACGCTGTTTCAATTCGGCCCAAATGGCTCAGTCAGAAAGCCGGACTTTCGCGTCGGCGGTCTCATTTCGCCCGACAAACGTTCGGGCGGAGGGAAATCCATTCACGGAATCTTACCCTGTAAGTTGTGTGGAATCCACTCTGGAATGTCGCTGGAATCCACAACGGACTGTTCATGTAGCTCATTAAGCACTGTATGACATTCTCTCCGGTATCTCAGTGACATATGCACCGAAATGTTCGCTATATCCGCCCTGAAACATCCATGCATTGATTCCTTGTGGTTCTATGAAACCCATTCTGGTTCGCATGTCCATGTAATGTGATCCGGAATGAGAGTGGAGCGTTTCGGCCATATTACCTATGTGGTCATCAGCAGGACAGCTACTAATGCGTTAAACCAACGGTTCGTTTGAGCAAAAGTTGAATTTCCCATCAAGTCGAGCGGGGATGACAAGGCATTTTCCGGACACTTCTAGGGAAAATCAACGATGTGAAATTTATTTGCTCTGATGCGCACGGGGTCGGTTTCTCGTAACCATGAGCGGCGGACATTCGAGTCAGCTAGTTACAAAAAAGGAAACGCCGATCTTTTTCCATCATGGACAATGCACATCACCGGCGTTTTGCAGGCGCGAGGTGAGGGCCCATGGATGAAAAGACGTCGCCAAACACATAACGATCCATCTGAGGCGCGAGTCTAAAATGCGAATGACTGTCTCGATCGAGGTCCGCCAAGCGCCAGTGCACCGCGCGCCACTGCCGTTCTCTGTGGCCTTTGGGTGAGATTGATGGTTCGCCAGGCACCAATAACCTCGGGCCGAGGTTAATGCTATGATCGATCTCATCACAATGCCTGGCAAAATCACCAGCGACGACTGACGCGCGTAACCTGAATCAGGCGAGTGGCCCCGTGAGTGCACCTCGGTCCCGCTGATCATACGCTCATCAGGCCCGGACTGAGCCTTCCAGCCAGTTCAGGGCGGCCGGACTGCTGCACGCATACTCGCGGCGGCGTCGCCAAGGCGGTGAACTCATCCCCTCCCCTCCCCGCTGACGTTAGCGCGCGGCGAGCCGTTCATGAATGAATCAGCATACAAACGGACCGTGGCGCG